ACAGTATCTTATTATGCCTTATTCCTCACTTCCTAAAGGCATTATATGTATTGAATCTCTTTAAATTTATTTGGCTTAATCGAACATACATTCCAGCAAATGATGATTAAAGATTTTAAAATCGTTTTCTGTTTTCATATATATTAATGGGTTTTATTGGTTCATTAATAATTTCAATTCCCATTATTATTTTTCTTCGGTTTAAAGCTTTTGTGATACTTATTCTTACGAGTTGTTATACCTCAGAGCTTTTAATGAATGTGAGTATTATAAGATGCTTTAGTTTTGTAAGGACCAGATTTGCAATACTCACAATATATATGACTTTCAAATTGGTTTTCAATATAATGCTCTTTCGATAATAAAGAGCTATCATAATCCAAGTCCTATACTTCAATTTAAGATTTTTTTGATTCTGAAACCTATGTTTTTACTTCTTTCTTAATAGATTACATAATTTATTAGCTGAGCAGTTATGATGCGGAATTAATAAAAAGGCCTTGATTTTACTGAATTTACCTTTAATTTTTATTGCTTTAGTTTTGAGATCTTCGATTGTTTTGAAACTGGACTTATTTCCTCTTAAGTATGAAAAATTATTTATCACATAATATATGCTTATTTGTTATTACCTTCCTTTACCATAGGTTTTTTTTGTTTAGTCCAACCATTAAAGATGAATAGCTTAACTTAGTCAATTCTTGTTATTAATTCTAGCATTTTTCTATCTACTTTATTATTGTTTTATTTTTTTTATAACAACTACTCTTCTTCAGAATTGTCACAAATTAGATTAAGCTTAGAATGAATTTTTTCCTTCAGTTAAGTAGTGATTATATGTAGTTAGGAGACTATAACCTGATAAATGGTCTGATGATTTTAGACTTCATCTTCCTCTGATTCACTTTATTCATAAGCTTTATCAAGTACTTAAAGTTTCTCCTGCAATTCGGTAATTTATTTAAATAAAAGATCGAATGGTTTCGAGAGCATTTATATAAGCCCTCCAGTTGATTGAGTTATCATGATCATAGCATTTCTAGTATTTTCTTCCTAGATAGTCTATGCTAGAGTATTGGCCTAATTTAAAGCTTATATGATTTGTGCTTTTGAGGAATAATTCTTATGGTTTTTTTTCATCAACTTGTTGGTTCATTCCCACAATTAAAATTTAATTTAAATGTATAAGTAATTAAAATTACTTTGAAATCTTGTTAATTTTATTTTTCAAAGATTTAGTTAATAATCAGGATTTATAGAAATAGAAAAATAACTATAAGATAATGTTAGCAGCTTAATTTAATTTGACTAATAGATTAAGTTTAATAGAAGATTAAAAAGGTTAAATAAAAACTTTCAAAATAATGTGTTAGAAAGAAAATATGAAAATGATGAAATCGGAATAATTTAAAATTTGTAAAGAGAGGCACATTCAATTTAAAATGAAATTTAACATCAATATTTAATAAAGGATCGATTTAATCTAGTTAAATTTTATTCAATGAAGAGAAAAAATTAAATTTTGAAGGCTCTTTCGATTCAGATATAGTGATAATCTTATTAGAGTATAAGATAAAATAGAATTACAGAAGAGTTTAAAAGAGATGCACTAAAGATGAACCATTTATGTTATTTAGCTCAAAGAAAAATAGCGTTATCTGAAAGGAAACAAAGCAAATAATAACTTGCTAAAAGAAAAACCAATCAAATTCAAAAGACATAGAAATTAAAGAAATACCATAAATAAAAAATATTAGAAAATATGATATAACATGAAGAATCAATAAATTTTTACGGAGCCATGAGAAATTAAATATATTTATTTATTACTCAAAAAAATTTTTTGTGATAAAAAGGATGGCTTTCGGTTTATCCGAACATAAATGTTTAGGTGTATTAAAAAAAATAATTCCTTCCCACCTTTTATAATTTAAATATCGAATATAATTGCTAACTCATACTCAACCTAGGTGAATCAATAAAGCAAATACAAATTTACAGTCTTTTGTTTGATATTTTCGAAACAAACTATCTTTTGCTTTAATTTTTTTCTGACTAAATCAATGCAGAAACATTAATCATAGGAATTAAATTTTAATATAAAAAATAAATATTCTTAATTTTTGATTATAATTTAATATATATGGAATAATTACAAAATAAGGTTGGAGTTAGTTTAAAAAATTTCTACATTTTTTGATCAAAAGTTTGAATTTCCTTCAAATGTTCTTTAGTAACATTTTCTATTTATTACTTGTTTCTCTAGATTGATGCAATCTTATTTTTTACTCAAATTAAAGTTGTTTTTTTTTAATTAAAAAAATCCTTTGACAATATTTTAACATTTTTAAAATCTAACTTTTTTATCAACCTATTATTCCTTTGTTATTTTATTGTATTTGCTATGAGATAAAATCTATCAGGTCAAATGCTTAACTACCATACCTTTTAAATAACCAATTATCTTGATCTAAAGTCTTTAACACATAAACTAACAATAGTTTATCTAGTTGATGTTTAGAATCGAATCCTCGCATCTGCCATTCTTCTAGCGATATTTAGCAAACTTGTTCAAGGACTAAGACTGTTTAACTTATTGTAGAAGTACATTAATTTTGACTTCAGTTATTTTTGGGCCATAGTAATTTTCAAATAAAACTTTCAATAAATAGGCTGCAGTTATAACTGAAGAAGGGAATTTAGGTAAGTATTTCCTTTACTTTATAAACTAAAATATGTAGAATCTAGAGAAAGGCATTAGCATCATTTCTTTAAATTTCAATGATTTATTATTCCTCTTCTAAAAAGTTTGACACAAAAATGCTGATGAAATTTTTCTTTTTCAATAATTTAAGATAAAAATTGGCTTTTCTATTATTTATTAAGAAAACACGTCAGCCATAGCACCGTCGTGATTTATTTAAAGGGAGAAACATAAAAATTCAGTTTAAATAACAAGAGTAACATAATGGTTGGTAATTAAAAGCGGCTCAAATTCAAATCATAATCTTTTTAACGCTAAAAATTTTAGCGATGAATTAAAAAAAGAGTTTACTTAAAAACGCTTATCTCTTTTTTAATTTTGTGAATTATTAAACTCTTAAAACCTTTTTCTTATTTTAAAACATATATTTTCAATATGAGGTTATAAATTTCATCACTGAGATTTTGGATACTTAATAAAACATTAAAAACTTAAAATTGGAAATGAATCGTTTTTAGGATATATATCAAGATTTAGCCACAAGCAATCTAGCCTAAAAAGCATTTCAAATAATCTTTAGAACATTTAGGTTCAGTGAATTGTATAATTTCTGTATTGGTTTAAATAGGTTTATTTGTTATTAGATTATTTAAGAAATTGGAGGGGCGTTTTTATTTTAGAAATTTATTGGTAAATCAGGCTCATTTATTTTGAATATTTGAATCTCTTAGTAAGTTTAACTCTGGAATTATTCTTTTCTTTGAAGGGTTTTGATTTTATCAAGTTTTTTTTTGATTCGCATATTTCAATTTCCATTCTGATAAAAAACCAAATTCATCATCAATTTTATTTTGAAAAAGGTATATAGTTTATATCAAATATTAACTCCTTCCCCTATTTGATTTATTAATATCCTTTATAATGTTAAAAATTAGGATCATTAGGTGATAACCCAGTTGGTTTCCTAAACACTTTTAAATCCCTTACATCAGCAAATACTTTGGATTTTATACTTATTCAGAATACAACAATACCTTGATATCATCTTCATTTAAACCAAAATATCTTGATGTTCTTCTAAATAAAGACCTAATCTCTTCCTAGAGCTTGAAAATCAGGTTTTTCTGTCTTTATTTTCATGTATTACTATAACGCTTGCAGTATAAATTTTGATAAAATATAACTCAAAAATTATTAAATATGTTAAATTTTTAAATTTCATCCAATTTAAGGAATCTTCTATTAAGAGCATTACACTCATTCCAATCTTGAAAGTAAACATAAATATCCATAAATGTATCAAATTATGTCTTTTAATAGATTTATTATTATATATTGCATCTACTCTTCCAACCAAGTTTGCAGCAGTAATAATTGCTAGAGGATCGATCTCTTTTTTTTAAGTCCTAATTATCATCAAAATAAGTGATTGATTTTAAATTATGATCTTTTCATTAAGATTTACTTTTATTAACTTCATTAATAAATTGATTGATAATTAATACATTTCTCCCTTAGCTCATCTGAAATTAAATTGCTGATATCAATTTGGTTATTTTTCAAACTAATTTAAAATATTTTTTTATAATATAGTGATAAATGAAGAATAGAATTATTAAAGTTTGGCTAATTGTATTCGTATACGTAAAAATTTTTTATTCTATAATAGAGAGTTTAGATTAATTCAATCATGATTATTAATGAAAATATTTATTATAAAGTATAAATACAAGATTATTTAGATAAAAAATCTTATGAAACTCATGAACTTATCTAGAAATTTTATTTTAATATTGTGAAACTTCGAAATCCATTACATATGCATTCTATTTATTCTAAATAACTTTGTTATTAAATTTTTCCTTCTTAATTTTCCAATATAAGTCAAAAAAGCTGATAGTATTGCATGATTCATAAAATTTAATATGATTAAAATCACTTAAAACATTTCGAATTTATTTATAAAACTAAAAGCATAGACATTATGAAAATATAAGATTGTATATTTTGTCACTTATTTTTATTTTTTGAGGAGTTATTGAATGTTATATTCTCTATATTTTATTTTGATTAAATATCTGAAATAAAATACATGTAATTAAGAGAATTGAGAAGTCAAATTGATATTTGTTTTATAATTTTATTCTAACTTGGATTAAAAATCTGTTCAATATTACAGCATTAAACTTTTATTCCATTCAAATTTTCTTCTCTTTATTTTAATATTAATGATATGAATTTAAGTTTCTAATATTATGTTAAAATTTTTAATTAATTAATTAATTAATATTCATAAATGATTTAATCAAAAATGATAGAAAAAGAAGAAGATCTTTTTTGTTCTTAATAACATAGGCTTCCAGTGCTAATGATTGCTTGTGATAATAAACTTAAGAAAAATGAAAGACTAATGTGCTAACTATGTATGGAAAATTTAGAATAAAAACCAGAAGTAATAGCTTTTAAGAAGACATTGGAAAGTATTGAAAGAAATCAAATGTAAAAGAAAGAATTTATTGAGAATTTGTTAATTACTAATATCAAAGACATTTAATAGCTCTAAAATGTTCTTCATCAATTAAAATTTGATGTTGTTCAAAAATTGGATTATTTGATTGGTAATGCAGATGAATGGATCAAACAAATTAAGTTATGGGGAGTATGAACAATAATTTTACACTACAGTATTGCTTTCTCATTTCTCAACTGAATTTTCGCATATTCAAGAATATACAGTTAAAAAATCAAAGATATTCAGGATAATGAACTAAATATATTCTTGGCATATTAATTTGATCAACTATTCAAATTAGTTAGTTCATCTATACCAAATAAATTAATTAATAGCCTGAATTATTCAGGGATATGATTCTATTATGTAAAAAAAAATTAAACCTTTTAAAATTATCCTAGGTTTGGATTTAGAAAATTGGAGGATTCTTTTAGCATTAGTGATTTGAGTAGATTTCTCTGATTTTCCCTAACTGTTTCCCTTAATTTTTGAATTAATAATTACAGGTTATTAACTTAGTGTGAATTTAGGCCAGATTATCCTTTCTACATAAAAATAAAATAAAGCTTTTTTCTAGTTTAAATCTAAAGATTTTTTAGAAAATCCTAAAATTTTGAAAGCTACTGTTAAATTGTATAAGAATTGAGAAATAAATAAGGGAAAATAAGTCTCACATTAGATTATAGCTTGCAAAATTGGCATAGAATCGAATATATTTTATAGAAATTGGTAGCCATCGAATGGTGAATTTGTATAAATACATTTAACTTCAAAATTTACATAAAGTATACACTTGGTAAATTTTCACATACGTATTGAATTTAAATAATAATTTTGGAAAAAAAAATTTCATTTTTGTGCACAAGTATTAATTTTGAAATTATTAGGATAAGGATTATTTGAAAAATGAAGGAGCTTAAATATCATCAATAAAAAAATTCATTAGTTGTTTTTTTTTTGCTTTACAATTAAACAGATAGCTCTTTATAAATTTAAAGGTTTATTTTCTTACTTGTTTTAAAACTCTTTAAAACCTTTTAGCATTTTCCTTCCAAGATGAAATATCAAAAATTATAATATCAGGTTTTCAATTATTTAATGACAAAAGTCATCTGCTAAAGATTATTTTTATAAAAAATAAAACACTAATATGAGTTTAGGATTTTAAGACTTAATTTCTGATTGCATAAATTTTGGCATATATAACTTAATAAAATAAAATTTTATTTTATTACTTTAATTAAGCTTAATCTCTTTTTTCGATAAGCTTGACTTAATAGTTAAGTGAAAAATCTAAGACGACGTCTGATTCATCAAAACAAAAAGATAAAAGAGAAATATTCAAATGATCCTTCTAAAAAGGTTTTCTGTTAATTTCAGTTAGGCTATCAGTTCCCATTAACAATTAAGTACTTAATCCCCATATTTCCTAATAGTCTCTGTTGGTTGGTCCATAGAGGCTATAGAAAATTTTATGCTATTAAATTATCTTTTTTTTGCTTTTCATCTTCATTTTCAGAATGCTAACTTTTAGATTTTTATTAGAATTATTAATCTTTTCCACCAAAGTCGAATTATATCAAATTTTTCTGTTAATTATGTTTCTAAACTTGTCCCTTGATCCAAAAATTGCACCAACAAATGACTAATTAGATCCATTAACTTAATTTGTAATAGAAATATTATTATACCTAAGAAATTAGTGATTAAATTTTTTTAAAATGCTAGAAATTGTTTTGCATTCTAAAATGCATTTAACTTAATTTTAAGCATTAGCATTTGTATATTATTTTATACTTTAAATTTCTATTGAGAAATCAAAACAATATTTTGAATAAATTTGCTGGACAATATTATTAGATAATTAAAAGTTGAGGTTTAATGCGAGAAGATTGAAGTATTCTTAAACATTAAATATATTCATATTTTTTATTATATTTAGTTGTTACATGTAGCTTTTGGATTTTTAATATATTATTGTTCATTAAAATAAGTAGTGTTTTTGTTTCTCTTGCAATAATTATTTATTACGAATATATAACTATCCTTTTTTTCAATTTCCCACTCCTCAAATTCAACCATCTAGAAATCTAGTCATGTATTGCCTTATTTTCTTCATTCATTTGACTCAAATAGTTTATATTATAAAACTGATCATTATTTTTGAGGAAGTCTTTAATAGTTTTTAATTTAAGTCAAAGCCTAGATAAGAAATAAATATTCGCTAGATAGAGAGAGAAAAAAATAATTAATCAATTATATAGAGTAATAATTAACAATTTCAATATCCACAGTATGATGATTTATTCTTTACTAAATGAGTTTAGCAAAAAAATTTCGAATTTGTGCCTCACTTGAAGAATGAAATTAAATAAAATAAAAACAATTTTGGTCATTTCTAAACATAAAAGCAGCAAATGTTCATTTTTTTGAGAAAAGATTGTAAATATATTCATAATTATTTAAGAATTTATTGAAAAAAAATGAAGAGCACAAATTAAAATAAAGGCAACTTTTTTGAGATTTTAGCCAAAATTAAAGATATTGATGAAAAAATACTCGATTTGATAATTGAAATATTTAAAAAAGAAAAAATTTCAAATTGTCTTGAATTTCTTTAAAATGTTGACATTTAATAATTTTAAAGCTTATACATCGAAAAGAATAAGGAGATAAATGTTGAAAATAATGACAATTAGAAAATTACTTGTGCTATCCAATAAATTAAAATACATGATTTTAATCTATAAAATTATTCATCAGATATCTACAAAGAAAGTAAACAATATATAATAAATAAAATATCTAAAGAAAAAAAGATTATAGAGTTTTTGAAATTTCTAATTCGCCTCACAACTTTTGATACGTAGTTCATATAATGTGGATCTAATTCTCTAAACTTATTAGTTGAAATGAAGGTTGATTTAACTAATCAATGTTTTGAAAACATTAAAATTAAAAATACTTATTTGGTGGGAGCTAATTTTTTTGGATGCAATTTGAGTGGATCTGAACTTGATAATGTAGATATAAGCGGAATTAATTTGAATGGAGCTCAATTATTTAATTGCCAATGGAAAAATCTAAAATTACATGAGCTACTTCGACTGGATGGTCATATTAGTAGTGTTAATTCAATATGCTTCTCTCCTGATGGTACTGTAATAGCATCTGGTAGTGATGATAAGTCTATTTGTTTGTGGAATTATAAGACAGGAAAACAAATATCTAAATTATCTGGTCATAATCTTTAAGTCAATTCAGTATGCTTCTCTCCTGATGGTACTGTATTAGCATCTGGTAGTGATGATAAGTCTATCATTATATGGAATTTTAAGACAAGACAGCAAATATGTAAATTATGTGTTCAAAGCAAGATCAATTCAATATCCTACTCTCCTGATGGTGCTACATTAGCCAATGGTTGTAGTGATAAGACGATGGGATTTTGGGATGTTAAGACAAGAAAAAAAAAATTTTTAATAAGTGGTCATAGCAATTAAGTCCTATCAGTATGTTTCTCTCCTGATAGTTCTACTTTGGCATCTAGTAGTGGAAGTTCTTATAGTAATGCAGATAATTCTATCAGTTTATGGAATGTTAAAACAGGATAATTAATTTCTAAATTGAATGGTCATGATTATTAAGTAAATACAGTAAGCTTCTCTCCTGATGGTACTATATTAGCATCTTGTAGTTCAGATTGCTCAATCTATTAATGGGATATTAAGGCAGGACTAGATTTAGCTAGATTATATGGTCATTCAAAAGAAATAAAAACTGTATGTTTCTAACCTGATGGGACTACATTAGCATCTGGTAGTGATGATTAGTCTATCATTTTATGGGATGTTAAAACAGGACAATAAATAGTTAAATTGATAGGTCACACTAAAGTTGTCAATTCAGTATGCTTCTCTCCTGATGGCACTATAATAGCATCTGGTAGTTAGGATAGCTATATCCATTTATGGGATGTTTAGTAAGGAAAATAAAAACGTAAATTGGATGGTCATAGTAAATGGGTTGAATCAGTAACCTTTTCTCCTGATGGTACCAAATTAGCTTCCAGTAGTACAGATAACTCAATCTGTTTATGGGATGCAAAGACAGGATAATTAATTACTATATTTGAGGGTCATGGTAAAGGAGTCAATTCAATATCTATCTCTCCTGATGGAACTAAATTAGCATCTGGTAGTGATGATAAGTCTATCATAATATGGGATGTTAATTCAGGATAATAAATAATCAAATTAGAAGGTCATAATAGTAGTATCAATTCAGTATTCATCTCTCCTGATGGGATTACATTAGCATCAGGTAGTGATGATAAGTCTATCATTATATGGGATGTTAATTCAGGATAATAAATAATAAAATTAGAAGGTCATAGAAGGTTTGTCAAGTCAGTATCCATCTCTCCTGATGGGATTACATTAGCATCAGGTAGTAGCGATAAGTCTGTGATTTTGTGGAATTGCAAAACAGGATAATAAAAATTTAAATTAGATGGTCATAGTGATTATGTTAGATCAGTATGCTTTTCTCCTGACGGAACTATATTAGCATCAGGTAGTAGCGATTACTCTATTCGTTTATGGAATGTTGAAACAGGACAATAAATAGCGAAATTAGATGGTCATTCATTTGTAGTCGAATCTGTATGTTTCTCTCCTGATGGAACTAGATTAGCATCTGGTAGTCGCGATTACTCTATTCGTTTATGGAATGTTGAAACAGGACAATAAATAGCAAAATTAGATGGTCATTTATTTGTAGTCACATCTGTATGCTTCTCTCCTGATGGAACTAGATTAGCATCTGGTAGTTTAGATAACTCTATTCGTTTATGGAATGTTTAAACAGCACAATAAATGTCTAAATTAAAGGGTCATCGTAACAATCCCACATCTTTATGTTTTTATGTTGATAGGACGAAATTAGAATTTTTTTTTTCTGATAATTCCATTTGTTTATGGGATGAAGAGACAGGAAAAGAAATTAAATCTACTGAAAAACGGTATGCCGATGTTTTGGCTTAATTTAAAACAACTTATTAAAACCTATCTTTTTCAGATGGTAATATATATTTTAATAAAATTTAGTTACCACTAATTAAACAGTTCTACTTATATCTCAATAGCCAATATTTTAAGCATAAGGAAGCTTAATTATGAAAGGAGAATTTATGAATTATTAAGGTGTAGATTTACTATAATTATTCAAATCAAAAGGAGGTATTATTTTAGAAAGTTCAACAGAATTTAATTTAAAAAAATGAGAATGTGAAAAGTATAAAAAATATCATAAAAATATTGTATTTAATCTTTTTTAATGATATTATTGATATTATTATTATAATTATAAATGATGTTAACCTAAGTTTTGCACTAATAATCTTTATTAATTATACTTTTTTTAACCTAAATAATTAAAATAATAGAGTCTTTATGAGGAAACTATAAAATACTATAAATATGACAGCTCAAAGTTTTATCATTTAGAAGTAAATTTTTAGCATGATTACCCAATAAAATCAGAAAAATAGTTAAATTTTTGGAAAGAAATCTGAGGCTTACTTTCACACTTTGATACAATTAAATAAATATAACATATAAATTAGTGATATACTCAGAAAGAGGGTTTATATTCTTTAGGAAGGATGTATTTTTGAAAAAATTCACTTATCAGATATACATAAAATACTATTAATTATTTCTAAAACATTAATGTATGAAAATGGAAAATATTAAAGCATTTCGAGTAAATTTTATACGCTTATTATCAATTATTAAAACTAATTTTACAAATGGGGCTTGAAATAATATATAAAAGGTATAAAATATAAATTATTAGAAATTTAGCACTTTATAACGGATAAATAAAAATGTTTTCTCATTTAAAAAATAATAAACTGCTTTTATGCAATATTAATTTAGATTTAAGATAAGAAATACTACTTAAATCTCGTTATTTTTGTAAAAATAGTTCTGGCTAAAAAATTTAATGGTTAATAATTATTGTTAATTATATTATGCCTAAAAAGACATAGCTACTACTGTTATTAATAATTCCTGAATGATGATTATTAACAATACATTTTTAATCAAATAGAATAACTATCTTATGTGATTGCAGTACACTAACTAATCTTAATGCATTACATCAGTTTGATGCTCAGATTTTCAATAGTCTATTCTTCATTTGGCTCCTAAAATAAGATCTGTATAATTAATTATATTAAGAAATTTGTTCTAGGGATTAGGATTTTAGACGATTAAAATAATTTTAATTATTATTTTAATTAATAATTATTATATACTTAACTATTTCTTCATAAAAAATTTTGAAAATTGATTAATTTAAAAATGAATCCAAATTAAATGCTAACTGAAAATTCATAATTAAATTAAGGATAAAGTGAGAATAATATTTTCGTTAACAAAATAAGTATTATCGCTTTAATGCCAATTAAAAAACAAAAATAGCAAATTTGAATAATTATTTAATTGATTCTTTCATATTCATATTTCTCTCATATGATTTCATTAAATACTAAAGATTAAAAAATGATTATGAATTTCAATCTATTATTATTTTTATTTCATTTAATTCTAAGTGTGTGTGATGACTTGCTTGATAGTGGATGATTTGATAAAGGGTGCCCCAAGCCATCTGCTCCTGTATGAAATATCAAAACTAGAATTATCTTGGATGATATGATGATCCTCAAAATCAAAAGTATCTATACTGTTTGTAAGTTGGGAGGGTTTTAGTACCACAAAATTAATCTGAAAAAATTTTTCACTCAATTAGTATTGTTAATGAATATATTCTCAGTCCTCTATTAATTTAGCTTTTAGAAAAATAAGAATGAAAATAAGAAAATTGTACGTATGTGAAAATTAAACCTACATTAAATTGTTTTAAATAATTAAATAATTAAAAATATTTAAATTTCAAATTACAGAACAAAGAAGAAATTAAAAAATTAAATATATATTATCCTAATATAAAATAAAATTTAACCAAAATAATAATTATTATTATCTTTTTAATTAATAATCATATTACTTACAATGTTTTAGTCAAATATGAAATTAGATTTCAAAGGCAAAATCTCTAAACATAAGAATGCAGCAGAAACTGAATTAGATTTTTTTTGAAATTTGTAAATTTCAATGCTTTTTTAAATATTAAGAACAAGACAGAAGTATTAGTATTTAGTTATTTTTTAAATTAATTTGATTGTAGAATATCACAAGAAAGTAATTTTTGTATTTAATCTTCATCAATAATTATTTGATGATTTGATTTTATTCATATAAGAGATGATGGTTTATTCTAAGTCAACTGTCCTTTTCCTTTTGAATTCATATTTTGGTCTAATTTTTTAATAATGAAAGCAGAAGCTCAGAAGATATTAGAATAATAAGAGACTTTTCTCATCATTTTTAAATATTGATAGAAATATTTTATTATTGTTTTTTAGATTATAAATCAGATTATTGCTCATTTTTTGAGATCTAAAATCTATAAATTAAATAGAAAAATGATAGTTATTACACTAATTCATTTAATTTTTTTAGACTTGATTAATTTGATGATAAAATCACTAAATAAATCTATACTATATACATATCTATTTTTTGTAATATTTACTTCAAGTCAGTATAGATTATAATTTGGATTTTTGTAACAAAAGTGTGCAATAAAAAGGGAAATAATATCAATAGATAAGAATCAATAAGACATATTTGAGAGATATAATTTTATTTAAATTGAATTTCATTATGTAAAAATAATTACTCATTAATTCATCTGTATTCAATTTCATAAACTTAAAAGCCTAATCTTTTTTCATTCCATATTACTAAATATCTTCCATTATTAGTTATATTACCATAAAATACAAATGTTTAACAATCAATAGGATCACAAGAATATATTAAATTTGAATTTGAACTTTATTTCATAAAATATATATATCTGTTGGACTTGAATACTAAGACTTTTTATTACTCTAAATACTTTAACTAAAAGAAAGTAATATCATTTTTTGGGTCTTCTGAATCTTTTGAGACTTCGGCGATAATTTCTTTTAATTGCACTTTCAAATTTTAGCATTGTGAAAATGTTCCATTTTACAATTTGAATACTTGTAAAAATGGTTAACTATATTAACACTAAACAATTGTATCATCTTATAAAAAACCTATTCTTAATCCATAATCTTTTGTTGATTACGCGACATTACATTTAAATTTCCATTTATTATTTCCATCCTTTTCCCATAAAATGATTTTTTTATCTCGCCCACAAGATACCATTTATGTTTCTTTTGAATTTAGATCTACTTTATCGACAAAGCTCTTGTGTTCTGACAGTGAATATTTATATTCAATTTTATTTGATTTGCATTCAACTTTCCATACCTTTATCTTTGAGTCTGCACTGCTAGATATTAATTCATCTTCATTTTTATTTAAATACAAACATAAAATAAATTATTTATGCTTTTTTACTGATACAAAGCTTTCCCATTAAGATTTTCCTTAATTATTTACTCTTTCAATCCAACTTATTATTTGATTATTCTTATCACCTGATACTATCCAATTCATTTTCTTACTAAATACAATACAGAAAACATCATTTTTGTGACCAGTCAATACAGTTTCTTAATTAATCAACTTTCCTTCTTAAAATTTCCAAATAATAATATTTTGATCACTTGATGCAGCCATTAGAGAGTTATCATGATTAAAATCTAAAGCGCGACAGAATTTTGTTTAATATACTTCATGAATCAATCGATATTCTACTCTATCTGATTTATTTAACTAATTAATAACTACTTGATTTGATTCTCTTTACTATTATTATTCGAAAACAGAATTTGAACTTTAAGGAATTTCTTTAATGATAATTGAATCTTCGTACAAATTCTATAGTTAGTCTTAAATGAGATTTTATAAAGAATCGATTTTCTTATATATCTTAGTCTAATATTAATCTTTGAATTTCTATATTCTTTATTAAAATTATTATTTCTCTTATTCTATTAATTTATCCAATTATATAATCACTTTATCAATTTCATTCAATAAACTATATTATTTATAGCTATTTTTTAGTGTTTCCAATTCTTACATCCAAATATCTAAATTACTTTGAATTTCATTTATAGTTTATAACAATTGTTCTTTCCATTACGAAATTTTATTTTAAAATGATTACATTTTTATTTAATTTTATAGAAAGAGATTCAAAACTTCATTATAAATTTTGCTCCTCATTTATTGTATTTTACTTATTCCTTAAGTTAAAGATATTCCATTAAAAGGCCTTAAATTATTTTAAATACATTATTAACAAGCTAATCTTTATGCTCCAACAAAATCGCTATCTAATAATATCGTAATGACCGGATTTTGAGAATGCCTATTTGCACATTAAAGCGTTTCTTCATTCTCTATCATTTTACAATATTCCATTTCTTTAACAATATAAATTAATAATAAATAATTATATAAAATTATCTTGATGTAAAATATTTCTTTATAAATGTTATTTCAAAAAAAAATTTGTATTTTAGTGTTAGCGACTGATATATCTAAATTCTTTAAAACCATTTTGATAAATAATAACTTCATCATTTTGTCCTCAAATATTAATATAAAATTATGATTTTTAAATACATTTTTTGATTCTCATCCTTAGTCTTTAAAATATATATTGTTTGATTCCAATCTTAGTCTTTAAATAACTATATTGTCTGATGCTAAAGAATTTCTTTATTTTTGAAAATAAAGCTTCTAATTAAACATTTATCAGAAATGTAAAAAGTGAATAGTAGTTTAAATTATCTTTTTTTTCCTGTAAAATTCATTAAATGAAACTTTTGAAATAGACAAATTGTTTCTTATACAATATACTTATAAAAAAATTAATTGTTTTTCAATTTTAAAGAAAAGTATTTTAATTATTAGATATGGAACAATAATCATTTTAGATGGAAGACTTTTGGAGTTAATAAGGTCTATAATTAAGAGAGCTCAAATATTTCAATATTCTTTTATTAATTAATTATTGAAAATACATATATAATTAATATCAGAAATTTAATATTATTAAGAATTTCCTAAAAATACTTAAATCTTTTATAATATGAAACAAATTAAATATTAATTATTATCTTGCTCAATCAATCCTAACCTAATAAATCATGTTAGATAAATTCAATACCAATACTTTTGTAAATAAAGGCAATTAATTAGTAATTACCTGCCAATTCTTGATCCTTTTTCAAATATTACATTATGCATAATCAAAAATAATTTATGAAGATCTATTTAATAGTTTTCAGGATTGTAAAAATACTTTAATATTGTTTAAGAATGGTCTGCATACTTACATGGAGATTGCACTAATTAAGAAATATAGTATTTCTCAAAGTAAGGATGCTCAGCCTATAAAATATTGTTGATAAAATAATGTTCAATTTTTGAATATCATCATTTGATATTTAAAAATTTTGAGCTTTAACCTCACTATCAATTAACATTAAAATTAACTTTTTTGATGTGATAATATAGTATTTAATTTTTAGGTAAGTGCCTTCAATTGATCCTGAATTTTTTGTTTACATAGATGGAAGAATTGAACACGAATAAAAGTATACAAATTCTGTTGATTCGAATGATTCTTGCGTATTAAACAGTGATAATTATCAACTTTTTCCTATTTCTATAACGACTCAGCATTCAAGTACATCTGTTACTATAGCCATGATTGCTCAAAAAGGATTTTGGGGAATTACCAAATTTTAATTATAAATTAATGAGTGTTCAAATGAATGTGATTCCTGTAATATCAATGGATGTTTAAATTAAGAAATATTTATGAAATCATTTAATTCATTAGACTTTGTTCTGAATGTTAATGTAGGATGGTAAATTCAAGGTATTACTTATAGTGTTACCAATATTGATGAATGCTTAAGTAAATTAAATGTTATTATTTAGGTTTTAAGTATCTAGTTTCCAATAGATATCATTTAGTTAAATTTTTTGAGTTAGATTATCATTATTCAATAAGTTTTGAACTAAAATTGCTAATTTTTAAGCTATAATCAAAAAATATACATATTTATATTGATGATGTTTTAGTAAATACAATTAATAATGTTAATTAAAAACTAAAATTTGCAGTTGATTTATGTAATAGCATTTCTATGTAGGAAATAAATATAGTATAATATCAACATCTTAAAACATAATTAAAAATAGAAATTAAAGTTGAATTTTATGATAATACTAATATTATAAATCCATATATAGGAATTAGAGATTTTTAATTATTTCTCAGAAAAAGATCATTTGATGATGGATGCTTTGATAAAAATATTGATCCTTTTGATGGTTGTTTTTCGAATAATTATGATTGTATTTAAGGATGCGGAATTTGTATTAAAGGTATTTGTTATGGTTGTTTGGTTGGATGGGAATTCGATCAATAGACTTAAATTTGTATTCCTTATTGTGGAGATGCTATTATTACTTTTAATGAGGAATGTGATGATGGTAATCAAAATCCTTATGATGGATGTCATGAATGCAAATATTCTTGTAATAATAATTGTAAGAAGTGTGAATTTGGAAAATGTTTGGAGTGTGAAAATTAACATATATTATTAGAAGGTAACTGCTATGAAATCTGTTCCGATTAAGACAATATGAAATTTAAAGAAAATGTAGGATGCTTTGATTTTATTAAAAGTGAAGGATACTAATATAGACTAAAAATGAGAATTAAGTATAAAATTTCATTTTTAATAATTTAAATTTAGATGGGAGTTTTTTAGATTGTAATCCTTTAAGTTTCGGAGTATTTGGATATTAATATCACCAATGTAAATTTGAATTAATTAGTAATTGTAAACTATAAAAGTATGGAAAATGTTTGGAATGTTTAGATGGATATGAATTTGATTTTCATAAAAATCAATGTATCCATAAATGTTTAGATGAAATAATATTATATTAAGAAATTTGTGATGATGGAGTTTAATCGGATGGCTGTTACATATGCTAAAAAAGTTGTTAAATAGAATGTCTATTTTGCTTTTATGATAAATGTTATCTTTGTCAAGAAGGTTGGCAACTTCAAGATTATTCATGTAAATAAATCTGTGGAGATGGGTAATTAGCAATCTTATCTAACGAATAATGTGATGATCTTGAAGATGCATATTGTGTTAATTGTAAATATCAATGTAATCCTGACTGTGAGATTTGTGATAAATTCTAAAATTGTGAGATTTGTAAATCTCCTTTAATTAATATAGATGGAAAATGTTTACCAATTTGCGGAGATAATATTGTTACTCCTGTTCTTGAATAATGTGATGATGGCAATGATATCCCATATGATGGTTGTTATAAATGTGAATTTTAATGCTCTTTTGGATGTATTAAATGCGAAAAGGATAATCATTGTTTATAATGTTTAGAGTCAAATTTTTATTTGGATACTTATTCTATTCAATGTAAAGAATTGCAATCCCAAATTGAACCAAAACAAGAAGATGATAAAAATATGTATATCTATTGTAGTAAGAATAAAGCTCTTATAAACGATGAATGTATTAATTTATGTGGTAATGGAATGCTTGATAGTCATTTTGAATAGTGTGATGATGGAAATAATAATGGAGGAGATGGATGTTCTTCTTTATGTAATGAGGAAGATTCTTACATTTGTATTAATCAAGAAAATTAATTAACTCAATGCTCTTTCATATAACAACCTAATTTTAATTTACTATTGCTCTCTGATAGATAAAATCAAACAAAAATAATTGACTTAAAATTCACTTAAGAAGTTTATTTACAATCTGGGCTTATATTTGAACAAATCGTCGAATTTGTTATCCTTCCAAATACTAGGTATGGATTATCTATTGTTCCAATAAATAACATTACTTTTCAATTAAATAATCCTCATTATTAAATTACTGTCTAATTTGATTCACCAGTGACAGATCCAATTTTATAAATCAACATTCAATAAAACTCTATTCTTAATTAATATGATATAGATTTATATACTAATTCCAAAGAAATAAATCTTGGAACCCCTTTTGTATTATCAACAGTTACTTAAGAAAGAGTAATCTAAATTATCAAATTGAATGATGCATTTGTATATTCATCTGCTAGTATTGCTGGGATTCTTTTATTAACTGGTAATTATATTGTATTTGTCAATTTATTAGACTTATTATAAACGTTATCTTACATCAGATTTATGCAATATAAATTTCCACCTCATTTAATGTAATTTCTTGAAACTTATACTAAAATTTCCTTAAAACCTATTTTAGATAATTTAAAAATTGATGAGTTTATTGCAAGAATGAATGGAGGTACTCTGCCAAATTTACAAAAGAAATCATCTTAATCAACATAAACTAATGTTTTAAATTAGTTTTATATAATAAATGCCAAAGGATGTTATTTATCATATATTTTATCTATGCTTACATATATACTCTGTTGTTTAATAACTTCAAATCAAGTTTCAGCATGGGTTGTAAGATGTTTGAAAAATAATGAAGAAAACTTAAAAATTCTACGTTTATTATCAATATTTCAAAAGAAGATCTAATAAACATGTTATAATATAAAGAAACATTATTTCACTTTTGGAGTGTTTTAAGTATTTTATTCAACACTTCATTAGTAATTGTTTAGCACACTATTATAATTTCCTTATTATAATTTTGATTCTCCTTTTGAAGTAATTAATAGTATAGCTGCATTAGTGAGCTTAATATTTCTATTTCAAATATTTTTTAAATTGCTATCCATCACAACATCTTAAATTAAAGATAAATAAAAATGGAAATATTTCTTTTAAGATTCAAAAACTGAATATTGGGCAGCTAATTTCAAATCATTTCAAATATATAGAACTGCTTTATATATTATTATTATCACTAAATTCATGAAATATCCTGAAGCACAATCAGTGTTACTTTCAATGCAGTCATTATTTTATTCAATCTACTTGATTCACTTTAGACCTATAAAATCAAAATTTGAATTAGCAAAATTAATATGTAGAGAAGTAACACTATTAATCAACACAGGATCATTTTTACTTTATAGTTTTAAATTAAATGATGTATAATATTTGCTTTTTGGATGGTTGCATATATCGTTATTTTGTTTCTTAATGGGCTTTACATTGATTGTTGATCTTTTGGAGTCAGGGTAAAAAGCCTATTATATTCATTTAAAGAAAATATAAGCTATAGAGAGAATGAATATTTAGAGATATTATGACAATCCATTATAAAAATTTGTTGAGATGAATAATTTAGATATGAAGAAATGAATTATTAAATTAATAATTATATATAACTATTTTTAAATTGAATGAATTACGATTAACAAATATCAATTACTATATTGGAAATATTAAATATAATATTATAAATATGTGATAAAAATAAGAAAGCATCAATAAAACTTAGAAAAATCAAATTATGATTAATAACTGGTGATAAGGAATGGATAATAGTAATAGTTATCTTTGTATTTAATAATTAGTTAATAAATAATAATAGTTGCTACATCAAACCAGATCCCATAATTTAATTTCTAATATTTTACACTTTTAATAATCAAATTAAAGCTCAGTTCTACTAATCAAACATGTAAATAGATTTTAAATTGTCATAAGGATATATATCTCCACGAAAAATTTACTAAGATGGAAATTAACTTTTTGCTTTTGGAAAGAATAAATAAGTTATACTAAGGATAAAATATTCAATATTAATGGCAGATAAAATCTCTTATATAAATTAATTAAGAATCAAAATAATAAGTACTACTATTTTGATTGGCTCTAATTAGAAATTAGTGTCTTTCTCTGTTTATTAATAGTATCTAAGGGTATATGGATTAAAAATTGATTAATATTGAGTTTTTATCCAAAATGATTGTTAATTGAAGATACATAACTTATCAAACAAGTCAAAATCAGAATTTATTATCATCAGAACACCAGAATCTATTGGTTGATATAACTTCTAATCTTTATATTATTAAAATATTAGAATTTTAATTAAAGTAAAATGATTGTGAAATAAGTATTAAATTTTAAATAAGTTTTTATTTCATGACAAATTTTTGGGTATTATTATTATGAACATAAATGTTATCATATCCTACATTATGTTATCTTTAATTTTTATATTTTATTTAAAATATAAGAATTGAGATAAAATTTATATTATAAATTTATGCATAGTTAATTAAATAACAATATATAGATTTGAATCCTATAATAATTAAAATACTTAATCAAACAAATGAAGATAATGGATTTGATATTTATGTCAATTCTGTTAACTTCATTTGTTTGTTCAAAAAAATAATCAATTTTTAATCCATTACATATTGATTTTAACTTTTTTGTCTAATTCTTTATTATAAATATAAAATAATTAATTAAAATAGCTAGGGTTTTATATGAGACTCAATTTGACTAGTATTATAGTATTATTCTTATTGATAAGTTAAATGAACCAAAAATTATAGATTAATGTATTTTTTTGACCTAAAATGATAATAAGGAAGATTATAAATGAAAAAGTTTATATTATGTGAAAAAAAACAAACCTTTAAAATTTAGGGAATTTTTTAATTTTTTAAACAAAAAAATATGTATTGTATCCATAAAATTAAAATAATATAAAATTTATACTTATAAATAAAATATGGAATAAATTGGTTGATCTAAAAGTTTAAGTTAATGATGAATTTAGAGAATTGATAAATTATCTTATATTGATCTTCATTATTAATTAATTATTCATTTTAATTATATAATGATCCAAAATACAAACAATTAATAAGTATAGTAAGAAAACTCTTAAAAATACTTGAGCCACAAGTTATTGTTTTCAATAAGTTAGAAATATCCTGATCATAGTTTTGCTCAAGCTATAAACTATAATAACACTATAATGGCTTATGGATCTAAATTTATATGCAAAGTAATCTTTTTTAAAAATGAAAATTTTTTAAATGTGCTTCAAGTAAAAAAGCACTAGAATGTAATTTCTACACTAACATTCTTTAAAGATAGATCGCAATTAATTTCTGGCTCTTATGATTCATCTATTATAATTTATCCATTGAACTTGCTATCTAGTTCTAAACATTTAACAAAGTTAAAATAACATACACATTTAATAACATGTTTAATTGTGAGTAAAAATTCAGAGAACTTTTTTATTAGTGGATCTCTTGACAAAAATATTAAATTTTGGTCATTTTCATCTTCATCTTGTTGGACTTGTACATAAACAATTAGTGAGCATTTGGATTAAGTGAGTGGGTTATCCTTAAATGAAGATGGTAGAAAATTGATTTCTTGTAGTCGAGATAAATAAATTTTTATTATGGAAAGATCTACTGATTAATTTTGGTATATTAAACAAAAGATATCAGGGAATGGATATCGTATATCTTTTATTACAACAGATATTTTTTCTTTTCAGCCCTATGATGGAACACATTTATATTTATATTCATTTGATACCATTACAGGATAATACATAAAATCAAGAGAACTTTCTATTTCTAAAGGTGGGTAAGGCTGTTAATATTTTTTCCCCTAAATTTACATTTCCTCCAAATAACTCCTAATATCTAAAAATGGTTATTTTGTAAATTTAATAAAATTTAATTTCAATTCTGAAGGTTGGGATTGTAAATTAGAAGAAGAAATAGAATATAATCAATTAGGAAATTTTGGAAATATTTTTGGAACAATAAGCGATAATGGAGAATATTTTGTAACTTGGGATTGCAAATCTGGTCTCCTTTAGGTTAGAAAAATAATATATGAAAATTAAAACGAATGACCTTATATATAAAATCACAAATCCAATATATTATTTTAATATTTTTAAATACTTTTCAGAATTTAATCTTATTCATCATTCAATACTATTAGAAGATTTCAAATAAACAAATGAATTATCTAGAGTGGCTTCTTTTTTTATATACAATTATTCAAAAAAAAGATCTAATTATATGGACTATAATTATATTATAAAATTATATTTGGAATTATTTATAATTGTTAATATCTATAGTTTATGGTATGAATAGTTTCATCTAAAGAAAGTGAAAATCTTATTTTATTTTTTGTAATTAAAAATACAAGGGTTTTTTTTAATTGAATCCCAAATGTTATTCAATTAAATAAATACTAAATTTAAGAATTTATTTTAATTATTGTAAAATATGGAGATTTTATTTATTTATTTAGGGTGTCTTATTTTTCATGCCAACTCCTAAATGACACAATGCATAGATTATAAAATTAAACCTATTGTAAATTGCTAAGATTATTTTTCACATTGTTTTATTTTAGAAGGAGATGATGAAGATTATACAAAACTCCAACATATTGACATCTAAATTATAAAACCAACTTTCATAATTCCTTAGCAAGAATAACCTGTTGTAATAAAAATTATCGATACTTTTGATGAGAAAAAGAAAATATCAGAAAAACTAATGTGCTACTTATTTCGTAAACTTGAGTATTCTATCATTTGTATAAGTGTTGAATTAGTTTATTAAGATGAATAAATTAATTTTAGTGAGAAGTTTAGATTTAATACAAATATTTAAGCCACTGAACTCTGTGATGAAATGAATATAAATGAAGATGGAAATTTTAATATGTTTTGTTTAAGTCAATTTAGTTTAAAATAATATACCATAAATATATCTAGTAGAAATGCCTCTTTAATTTCTGAGTTTGATATTCCAAACCAAATTTAAGATAGTTGCAAAATAAAATATGTAAAATGGAATTAAAATTTTTATATTGTTGTATTTTATCAATGTTCTAGATGGAAAGTTTTATTGATTAAAAATAATAAAGTAACAACACTATTAGAAGCTTAAATGAATGACAAGGAGACTTTATTTTAAGGTTTGTCTTTTATTAATGACGTATCCTTTTGTGTATCTAAAAATTTATTTGTTGATATCTATTTGATAGAGAATAATTAATATATTTAAGTAAGTATAAACTACAGTTAATAACTCTATACGTATTATTTTGTATTTGAAAATATAAAACGTATACAAAAGATAATAGTGTAATAGAAATGCTCAATCATATTTATCGTCAATCCATTAGAAGATGACAATTCAAATGTTTTTAATACTTAAGAACGCAAGAAACTATCTTTACATTAAAAATATTCAAATTATAAAATTTACTTTCATTCTAATATTCTTTTTTTGTAAAATTCAACAGAATTAATTGCTTTTTTGAACCCTCATCTTTATCCAACTTTTCAAATCAAAAGTACTCCATTACATTTTTTTGAAATTGATAAATTATTCTGTTAATTTGATGAAACACAAAATGCTATATAATTTTATCAATATTATCAATTAAGTAGCTTGATTAAACCTAAATAAAAGTATCTTTATATAATTTAGAGCTCAGAGTTATTCAGAATTAATACTTTACTATTGTGCTTAAAAATGGTTAATGAAAATAATACAAAATAATAAAATTTAATTTAATATATAACAGTGTAAAATTAATGTTAAAGTAAATTCTAATAAACAATCTAAAGGTCAGAAGTTTAAAACGCATTTAAAAATAGTTCATTCAATTTATATAATCAAGAGGGTAACATAAGTGTTAGTATAGGAAATAATCAAATTTTTTTGGACTCCTGTTTAACAAAACTGCAATAATTTCATATTAAAACTAAGATAGAATTGAGATAATTAAATATTCCTGACTTCATAATATTTTAAAATGATAATTCTTTTTATATTTACTCTTGTAAATAAAATAAATTATTGGTCTAAATCAATAGAAATTAATTTGAAGTACTAGAAGCTAAACAAACATATTTTATAGTAAATAAAAATACCTCAAATTCATTGAGAATAATCTAATTCAAAGAAGGGTAATTGTTCTAATAGAAAATATAGTTTGATGATGTAATTATAAATGCTTAATAATTCTCTAAAAGTATATTTCTTTATATAAATAACAAAAATTTGCCTACTTTAATAATTAACTCTTTTGAACAAAAGTTAGATAGTAAATATCTTCCAAAGGGTCTTTATCAATCCGAACCTATTCTATTTTATTAAGAAGTTGGAAATGAATAATTTATATAATATCTCAATATTATAGCTGTTGAAAATTAAGGAGGTATTAGATTTTTTAAATGTTAAGAAGGATTAATTATATCCGTTCTAGCCTCAAAAATAAGTAATTAAGACTTTTCTATGATAGCAATACAAAATGTCTCAAATTCATTAATCCTTACTTATTTTAATGATCATGAAATACTTTAAATTTCTAATCATACTTTTTCTGATTATTAATTTGTTTTTCCATTTATGTACAAAATAAACCCTTAGCATTTGGCTATTTTAATAAATAAAAATAACAACACACTATATATAGCTATTTTTTAATATACTCAATCCTCTTTAGAATTATAAGATATTATAGCAACTGATGATTCCTTTTTTACATTTTACTAAAATAGTCTCTTGTTTACATTTAATAATGAATTGAGATATCTACTATTGAGTGACATTTTGGTTTAAGTTGAAACAAATTCCAATTTTAAATATAATTTATCATCCATGTATTACTTTTATCCAAAAATTTAAGAAGAAGACAAAGATATTTAACTTAAATTTTAGATTTAAAACAATTGTTATAAATTACATGCACTTAAAAATTTAACTATATTTAAAATTCATTAGCATTAAATTTTAAGAGTTAATATTAATGATATATTTTATGGTCCAATTAATAGTTTAAAACTTATAACTAATTCATCCATTATTTTAAATGGACCTTTTAAATTTAGAAATTAATTATAATAATGTAATCTAAATGGATCTTATATTTGTATTAAATAATTCAAAATTGAAGGATAATTAATGTTTTCAACCATTTTTTTGGAAAATTAAGTTTTTGAAATTACCATTTAACCATATTCAAAAATTATTTATATAACCAATATAAAATTGTCATATTATCTTTGGTTTTTTAAAAAAGATGTATATCTTAAGATTCAATTAATTTATTGTACTGATAAAAATATCAATTTAATCTTAGATCTCAATGATATCTTCGAAATATAATTTATTAATGCAGTTGATATAGTAAGAACAGGAAATTTAATATACATAAAAGATCTATTTCTCCAAAATTATATTTATTTTGAAGATACCAATTTTATTGAAATAAAGATACCTGGTAATGTCTTAGATATTATATATATTGAAGACTCATAGGATCAATATTTAACTTTATAATAAAAAGCTATAACTTCAATAAAGTATGATTTAATTATTTATTAAATCAATTTAAATTAGACCAATATATTATATTCCATATCGATTTTTGAAGAACTTAAATTAGAAGTGACTAATAGACAAATCCTTATATAAGAATTAAAATTAATCTCATGTATAAATATAGGTAGTTTAATTAAAATTAAAATGTTTATGATAAGTAATTATTATTCTTATTTGTATTAATTAATATTAGATCAATAGAAGAATTATATTAAATTCGAATTGTAAAAGTAAATAAGAAATAGTGTTTCTTTTAGTTCAGAATATGAAAAAACATAAATAGAATAATTCAATGAAAATATTTTAGTATTAAAAATAATTCAAACTAATCAGTTTTAATATTATGATCTTAGAGAAGAAAGAAACTTTTATGATTATTTCTATAAATCAAGCTATTTGATGAAAATAAAACAAATCAATACTACTCATTCTATTTTCATCAATGATTCATTTGTTTATTTAGGAACAATTGGATATGAAATTGAATTATAAAATGAATAAGAAATTAATTATAATTGTTAATTACATGCATAAAATGACATATCTGATGAAAAAGTTTTATTTTAGATACATATTATTAAATAAAATAATTAGTTTACAAAGACTAATATATCAATTTAATTCTCATCCTTAATTTTCATAATTATATATCTTAGAAATAGGTAATTTAGAATACAAAAATAATACAAAAGAAAAAAACATCTTTAAGTAATCTAAATTATAGATATTTGATATAACAATTTAAAAATAAAATCAAATTTTATATTAATTGTTTTATTATGATATACTCTATTCAAGAATTCATAGTTAATTGCATAAATTTAACTAAAGCTCTATTTTTTATAAAAATTATCTATAATTTTTAAGAAGACTTCCCTTCATTTCATTAAATTAACAAATATCATAAAAAAAACAAGATTTATTTTTAATCTATTTTCTTATAATATTGATATAATAGCTCATTGTCTTTGATTAATATCATCTAAATTTTTTATTTCTGTTTTTTATATTAATTACAATCTACAAATCTTCCTATATATAAATCATAAAATATTTATAATAGAAACAATATGAAATTAATATATTATAATTTATTAATCACAAATAATTTGTTGTATAAATTTCAAAATTTGTTTTCCAAATAAAATAATACTGTTTTTATGAATTTACACTTTTAATTCCCAATCATAATATATTATTTTTTCAAAATCAATAAACTATTTAATCCTGAAATATTAAAAAATATATATGATAAATTTTAATGTAATTATCCTTATAAACTTAACTTTTTATCTTAATATAGAATATAATAAACTCGTTTTTTTATTAATAAAATAACTGTTTCTTTTCATTAACTTTATATTTGGTTATCCAGATTAAATTTAAAAAAAGCTTAACAATTTTAAATTATTAATAAATAGAGTAAAATTATCTAAATGTTTTAAATTACCACAATGGAGATTTAATCTCATCGAAAAATAAGAATTAGTTTAATGATCATAATGATGGAAGTCCTTTTAGAGATGAAATTTATTTGGTAACATCTTATTTTGGTTTTTTAATGTGTTCTTTAGAATAATCTATCTAAATAAATTTGATTCAAAAATATGAATTAAATACTCTAAAAATCTGGCTTTGGGATAGGAATAATAGATTTTATACAATGGAAGTATTTATAATATTTGAAAATGTGGAAACAAGGATTTATGAGAATAATTAAGCTTAAAGCATATTGACAATTAAATTTCCAGCTTAAAAGGTCGAATCATTTAGAAAACAGATGATTTATAAATTAAATTAAAAATTGTCAAATGACTATATATAATACTGGAGGTAATACAGTTAATTCAATTTTACATATAATAAAGGTTGAAGCTTATTATAAATTCCAATGATTCTTAAATGAATTTGATTATTGTTAAGTATATAAATAGTGTAGTTTAAATTAGTTTTATTTTCTTAAATACTAATACAATTGGATTTTCATTTATATAAATATAATAATCTCTTACAAAATATGAGAGAATTTCATATTTAATTACTTATCATTCTCCAAAGAATTAGAAAATATCGAATTCGTTTAAATGTTAAAATAGTTTGCTTATTCAGTTGAAATAATTCTTCTTGATTAACTAACAAGTAATAAAAATTGTAGAAATACTTTGAATTTAATAATTTGAGCATTTTTTAAAACTAATCTTCTAAAATATCTTTAGGATCAAAATAATTATTAATTTTAAATTAGGATGAAAAAAAGGTTGTTAAATTATGTATAAATCCAATAATTGTATTTATTTTCTAGATTTAATTTTTGATTTTTATTTGATTCTCAAAATGTTATGGCTTTTTATATTTAAATTTTGATAGTCCTTATGAGCCAATAATTTGCATGATTTATTTGATTGTTGTATTAATAAAATAGTTTTAAAATGTTATCATTTCCTTATAGATTGCTTCATCATTTTGTTAAACAAATTTAGGAATCTATTTTGATTATAAATATACAATAAAGACCTTTAGAATGATCTCATTAAAAATATTAAAAAAATTGTTCTCTAAGTATATTTTTTATTTTAATACTCTGATAAAACTGAATCATTTAATATTTCTAAATCAAGCAGCTGTGATTAATGATTATCTCAAAAACATTTTTCAATTCTGAATAATTTTTGAGCGACAAATTAATCCTTAATTATTTTTTATCATTGATATAAATTTATATAATTTGTAAAAATAATATTAATGATTATGATTTTCATATTCTAATTAATTATTTGTTGATCTGCATTAATAAAAAATATAAACTGAGATTCTGATTTAAAATAATATTAATATTTTAAAATCAGCATCTATTAATAAACTTATGCTTGTAAAATTTAATTCTATTTTTAAATTCTTATGATTTTGGTAGATTTTACATATTTAAATACTATGGCCTAATTTAATACTTAAAATTTAGTTATATTCAAAGTATAATAATCCTTTTTTAATGAGAATATTTTTTAATGATACTTATATCATTGATAAACTGGATTTAGAAATTAAAGCATATTCTTAGGTCATGTTAAAATGTATTATTGATTAAGCCTAGACATTAACAGGAGAATAATAAATTGATTATAAGAATTTTAATGAATTAAAAATATGTAGGGTACATATACTAATGGTTATTGTTTTTATATTTAATATCTTTTTATCTATTGAAGAATAACAAAATAAATATACTTATTTATCTCCAATTATCTAAAAAAACAAAATTAAAATAGTTATTTGAAAAATGTTTAAACCCAAAATGATTGAAAATGAAAATATTCTGTAATGTATTAAAAAACACAGTCATCCTATTACATCTGTTAATCTAGATCCAAATATAGAAATGGAAAAGAGGTTCTTATGTGATGAATGCTTAAAGGATTATAAATAAAAGCCAAAGTTTTCTAAAATTTAATCTATTTTTCTTGATATTGAAGAAGAGCAAAACAAAAAAGTAAAAATAATTGAAAACATTATATTAACAAATATAAGACAAGTAGAAGTAATAAAAAATCATCTTAATTCGTTAAGGTTCAATATCATTCAACTATTAGATGGAATGATAATGACAACAAATGATTGGATATAAACTCTAATGTAAAAAGGTATTTAATGCTAAGAATATAGTATTATAAAAGAAATAGATAATTTTATTAATTAAGTGTAATCCAATGATCTAAAAATACTTAATAGTCAAATTTTATAAATTAATGAAACATGGATTCCAAAAGTTAATTCAAAATTAAATTAGTTTATAAACTTTTATCAATATATTAATTGTAAAAAAGCAATTGATGATTTGAAGAGTTTAAATGTTTAATTAGAATAATTTGAATAAAATATTGGATATTAATAAAAGTAATAAGATTCGATAAAACTTTAATTGATTGATTCCTTCAAACAAAAGGATCGATGTAGAGCTATAGCTTTTGATTAGTCTGGATAAATTATGGTAACAAGTTCTAGGAAATTCATTAAAATATGGAAATTTATTGATGGAAAATATAAGTATATTCAAACTTTGGAAGGTCATAGTGATTATATTTTTTGCTTTGTATTTAGCATGAAATAATAGGCATTTTTATCAGGGTCAGTTGATAAATCAATTAAATTATGGAAATCTTCATTTGAAACTTAATTTTAGTGTACTATAGCTGTAGAGTTTCATACTGCCTGGGTATTGAACATGATCTTGAATTAAAAAGAAGATTTACTCTTTTCAGGTAGTCGAGATAGTACTATAAATGTTTGGAAGGTAGATTTATTGTAAAATCAATTAAATTATCTTTACACATTATATAAGCATACTAAGGATGTTGATGCTTTGAGTTTGAATTAATCAGAGTCTACATTAGTATCGTATGGTTTGGATAAATAAATCATAATTTGGATGAAAAAAAGTGAAGATATTTATGAATTTAAATATGTTGTTAAATAATCAATTGATATTGATGGATGCAAGGTTAAGTTTTTAAAAGATGATGTATTTATTTTGGTCACTGGTAGTTATTAATTAGACAAAGTTTTTATATTTGAATTAAAGGATGGTGTATTCCAAGAAAATAACGAGTAATCTATTCAATTAATAGAGAATAATTAAATTGAAGATTATGGATTATGTCCTATAGTTTATAATTAAAACAACAATATTATCTTTTTAAGACATAAAAAACACATCTATTTAATAAGACAAAGTACATCTGGAAAATTTTAAATTGCATAGATATTGAATTGTGAAACATAAAGTATTGATGGAGGAATGACCAATAATGGAAAATATTTAGTTTTTTGGGATTATTAAACAAAAAATTATTCACAATATTTAATTGAATATTTATGAAACATATATATAATTATTGATAATATAATTATAAAATAATCACTTATCTATTTATTTAACCTGAAATTATTTTTATCATAGCTCTAGAACTTAAATTAAGATAACAACCTAATAGGAAGTTAATAATTTTATTATTCAGTATACTAGCATCAATTGAAAGAAATTTAAAGCATATAACTTTTGGTTTGATTATTTTAAGAAGGGACCAATTTTTATTACAAATAATCAATTTTTCCTTTTCTTTTTCAATCATTTTTTAAATACTTAAGGGAAGATCAAATATATTCTTAGTTTTGCCTGTTAATATATGAAAATAATAAATAAAATATTTCAATAGAATTCTAAATGTATTTTTGATATTCGGAAGACAAAATTGATTGTATATCATAAAAAGATGCTGCTTAGATATGCCTTTATGATTATATCTGGAGAAAATTAAAGATAGCTCACATTATGAGTGATTACTATTTCAAGTGAAGTTGTTTGTATCTCACGTTTTAATTTTTAATAATAATAAGGATAATTTTATGGAATTAGCTTGCTCATGTATTCTTACATAATATCATTCTACTATGAATTACTTAATCATTCTGGTATTCTAATTTTAAGTAATTTTTTTGCAAAAAATATAAGACATCGATCGATTTTGATTTTCATCATTATCTTATATGTATTTGGCTATATATATAATTTAGATATAGTAATCCTAAAAGAATGAAAATTGGATGAAACACAAAATGTCATATTTTTAAATGGATTTCAAAAAGATTGGAATTTAGAAACAGCTATTACTTTTAATAGTTTACTTTTCAATTTTATCATTTTTAATTAAATGATTAAGCTTGAATTATTTTTAGATAAAAAAATAATAAATATAGAAGATTTCAGTTCTATAGTACTCTTTAATCAATTTCCAATATTGACTAATTTCCAGTAATTTATCCTTAAAAATTAATTTTACTTTAAACAACTTAATTAAATTTTAATAATTAACATCTTTAATTAATTTCTCAGCAATTAATTTACATAAGTCTTTTATATATATTGATATTACCAAGGATCTCATCTCTTTCGAAGTTTGTGTACAAAAGTATTCATTGATAGATTAATTTAATTTGATATTGATATCTAAGTAAAGTTTTATTTTAAAGTTTATTATGTTTAAATTTAAAAAATAGAAATTAAGAAAATGCTGTTCCATTGATTGAGTGATTCTTCTCAATTTTATTAGAAAAATTAAGTTAATAAGCTATAATTTTATCCTTAATTAATAATAATAATTATATATGAATTGAAATGATCATTAGTAATTCAGTTGATTCGTCCTAAGTATGAGAAGAAAAGATGTTGTTTCTGACTTTGCTTTCTAAAAATTAAATCAAAAATTAGAAAAAAAAATTTATGTATGTAGGAAAAAACAGATGCCATCTAATAGTTAAGTTTATTAAATAATCTTTAATATCATACTTATGACATAATGAATTATGATTATTCAAATTCAGTTTAATAATTTCTGTAATGTTGCTATTATTTAATGTTTTAATTCCTACTTTCTACAAACAAATATCCATATAATTAGCATAGAATAATAATATATGCACCTTTCTCCAATATCAGATAAAATTACTCCAAATTTAGCAAATTCATTGTTATATTTTACCTTAATGTTGTTTTGAACCTTTTACATTGTATCTGTGATTATAAAATTATTAGAAATTTAAGTATTTTTATTAGATTAATATCCTAAATACTCTATTTGTTATTAGGAATTGCCAATTTCTAGTTTTATTAAATCATAGAGCTCTTTGTAAAGCTTTATCCAACCATTGTAATCAAACATAATTTGATTAAATTGTTGTGGAAAATTCTTAAAAAAATATTCATATTCGTGAGAATAACGAATATGAATATAACTAAATGATTGTTCATAGCCATTTTCTTTTGGTGAATAAGAACTCAGTCTTCTACTATTCTCTGAGATCTTTTCATAATTTGCTTTATAAAATTAATTCATATCAAGTAGTTAATCATTTGAATGTACTAATCTCTTAGAAATATCTTGTCTAAAGATTTTAAGATAACCTTAATTTTATTAATTATTGTCTAAGAATATAAATTGTTAAGTTTCAGATAATTCTCTTTTAAAAAGTGAAAAAATGTTTTGGAATTCATCATATTAATTTTCAATAGGATTTTATTTTATTATAACATTTTAAACATGCTTTATGTATACTAGTTCATTTTTAGTATTTAATATTTATTAATTAAAAATGCATTTAATAGCCTTATACGTAGAATCTAACATTCCCAAAAATTCTTCTTAACTAGAAATAGGCTTGTCCTATTCTTAAATTTTTAGATCTTTTAAACTAACTTAACATTTCAAACTATCTTCAAACTAATTAAATTTTTTTAATTAATTATTACAATCAATACTCCATGAACTATTAATTTTTTTAATTTCATTAAATATTATTTCTTTATTTATTTAAATTACTTTTTCTTATCCATAACTTATTATTTTATCTAATTCTTCAAAGAAGCTAAATGCAGAATAATCTGATTTAAATTTATCCATATGTCGAATCCAAGATTTTGTGATTTCATCTAGTGAATCTAATTCTTAAATTATAGTGGATCTCAATCCTACTAAATAAAGTTGAATTTATTTTAATATTTTTTAATCATTATCTATCAAGGTTTCCAAAAATTCTCTTTTTTGTTTTTGACTATCTCCAATCATTTAGTTAACTGCTTTAAATCCCATAATTCGAGCATCTTAAGTATAAGTTTCCATGCACTCATGACATAAAAGTTTTTGATTTTTTACAAATTTATTATCAAAGATTACACTAAGAATAGGTTTCTAGTGTTTATTAGCACATTATAGCTCTTATTCTATCATAATTTATAATATCAAAAAATAATTAATAATTTAATTTCCATTATTAATTGAATTATATAATATAAATACTACATTTTATTTATTAATAAATAATGATGATATTTTTAAGTTGATAATTATAATTTATCAATATACTTCTACACTTATTCCTTTTATTTATAGCTATATTTTCATCTATCTTAATAATTCGTTATCAATTAAATAGATGAATGTATATTTATTAAAATGAAATCTGCATTACTTTTTTTATCATAGCTTTTCCAAATATTCAAGTTTAGCATTAAAAATAATCCAAAACGATATAAGATATTCGTTTTGCTAAAGAATTAAAATAATACTTTCTTTCATTTTCTCTGATCACTAATTTTTATCAACTCAAAAGAATTTATTTGTGATTACCTTTATAATTATTACTAAATTCTCTAAAACAATTGATTTTCTTAAGTATTTGACTTATAACTAGAATTATCTCAGACCATAAGTTTTTTTACTTTTAGAGCTTTATTCAAAGCTTTTAATAAATAATTATATAGCTCTTAAATGTCATTTGAATCTAAATCAATTATATGCACAAAATCTAAAAACTTAATAGTTAGATCTGAACCATAGATCACCATTGTTGATAATAGAATTTTTGGGCTTTTTAAGGTCTATGATGGCATTAATAATTTATAAGGGATTTTACATATAATCATTATTTATAATTTCAATACATGAGAAACTATTTTCATTCTATTATATATCTATAGTTTTAATGATTTAATTCTCAATTAAAATTGAATGCATAGAATAGTAATAATTATTTTATTGTTATTGTTCTTATATTTATAATAATTTTCCTTCTTTTTTTTGATATTGATATAATTCAATATTAATATTAATAACATTAGAGAAAGTACTGAAATATTTCAATTATGAGAAATAAGAGGGAGATATCAAAAGAAATTAAAAGATTTTCATTTGTTTCTGTCTTAAATATATTTGATAATTTAATCCATACTATCTTCATTCTAGTTCCTATATAATAAACTTATCATTCTTCGAGTGAAAAATCGGAATCATCAAAACATATTTCTAGTTTATTATTGGTCTTATTGATATAATATAAAGAACATCAATTTCATAAACCACTCATAACTATTAAAAACTAACATTTTTATTATATTTTGACTATATTTCCTAACTTTCATTCTATTTAAAACTTAAAATATTAAGATAAATATCATTTTAATGATTGAATTTGCGAATTCAAATTATCTTGTTCATCATGTTCTTACAATCTCGATGATTCAGCAAGACCAAATGAAATTATTATGGATTTATATTTTGAAGTCGTCATCTTACAAATAATAAGAGTTGTGGCTATCATGTATTTTAGATAGAGTGAGGTAAATTATAGAATAGAACATAATTTGGAAAAAGAGAAAGCTCTCTTTATGTATTACTTATATTACAATTCTTGTTATTTAAGTAATTATTAAAATGATATAAATTATTTAGGTATAATATTATAAGATTTAAAGTAAATAAATAATAGGATTTGAAATTGAGCCTTATGATTGCGATCAATAATAAATTTCAATTTTACCTTCTATTTTCACTAATAATTTTTATCAAAGTAAATATAAGAGATTAATTTGGATTTGAACAGAATTTATTTAATTTCCTTTACTTTAGTTAGTTATTATATGTTTAGACATCATTGTATAATTCATTCAATAATTTTGTAAACATAAAGATGACAAATTATGTTTAATAAGGAATTATTAATATGATAATAAATGATGTCTTATTTACACAATAAATTGAAACTATTATGTTCAATTAAATTATAATAAAAAGTTTGATTTAACTTATCAACTATGTTCAAGATATGATCTTACTTCATTATTTTTTAGATATATATTCGAATAAAAATAGCTCTAATCTGAATTCTTCTATAAGTTATTATCAAAATATCTAAATAAATTTACCTTAGATGCAAATTATATTTGAAATACCGTTATTTCTTCCAATAAAAATATATATATATTGAAGTAGTTTCTTGAAATTATACTTACTTATAAATTACTAATTCTATACAGAGTTTATTTATAAAACATGAATAGTTTTAAATGTAAATTGAATATTAGTGTATAAGAAATATTCAATTTACAAAAATCAAAATCTTAATTTGATTTATCTTTTAATCTACTGATATCCTAATATTATGATATTACAATCATTTCGAAACACCATATCTTTGATTTCAGGATGAAGTACAACCTAAAATATAGCTTGACTTTTGAATATAGAATATATACCTAAAAAATGAGTATCTAGATTCTTTATAATTAAAATAAATAGATAATCTAACATTTCCATTTTTTTTTGTTTCTAAATAAAATCTAGAATTTTATAAATAAGTAACAGACCAAACATAAATAAGGAAAGTATGCTAGATTAATGTATTAAATGATATTTTTATAATAAATCATTCCTCTAAACATTTAAAAGAAAAAACAAACTGTATCAATTCTCTCATATATTAGAAACTAAATTAATCTTTATTACTCATTAACTTTCTCTTTTTTTTTTCCTATCAGGATAAATCAAATCTGTTTAAAACCAAATTAATTATTTCTCAAATGTTCAAAATCCAATTAAAATTATCCAAAGATTCCTCAATACACTAATATCGAGGCAGGAATAGACCTTACTTCCAAAGCATTGTAAAATGGATCATTAAGAAATTACTATATCTTTCATCTTTAAAATATAAACACACCTTGACATCATTACTGTTACTAAGTATTATAAGGAAATATCTTTGAATTAAAAATATCATACCTTCATATTTAGCTCAGTCGGAAGAAGAATATAAATCATCTCACACTATACCCAATCTATAAAAGCGGATCTCATTTTTGCTCAACCCCATTTAAATTTATAGGTAAGAATCAAAAGATATTCGAAAACTAACAATTACTATGGGGGTAGACCTCTCGATATCAAATCTCACAAAGATGAGATCAAGTACTCAAAGCCAAATCTCTCAAAGTGCCTAAGAGTTGTATAATCATTAATGCCCATAAGATAGTTGTAGGTATTGATAATATAAAACTTGTATTAATGAAAATAAAGTTTTAATTTTTTTTCACTCTCACTTATTAATAAATTGGAAATGTTAAAATGGATAATAAGAATTTAGTAGTAAATTAAAGAAAATAAATGGCGATTGTCAATCATGTAAATTAAAACGCTCATGTAAAAAAATTAAATTAAAAATTAAGCAATTTGAACACCTTTAAATGTAACTTGGAAAACCATCTTAAAAGGGAGGAATCCAATGGAAGAATAAGCAGGAATAGTTTCACCATAGTCATCAATATATAACAACCTTTCGGACCAGGACTACAGAATAGGGATAAAGAGTTACAGAACGCGAACTAAAAGTCGAATTTTGAAGTAGAGAGGGATTCTGAGAGAGTTTAAATTCTAAACCATTCGATTGATGAAAATGTGAAAGAAGCTATTATCTATCATATAATGAAAAGACCTTAAAAATTAATATTTAAGATTTAGTTGTTTGTTTTATATTGAAATAAGAAATACTATTTATTTTCACTTCTTTCATAGCATAATAAAGATAAAATGATAATTTGTTTTAATAATATATAAAATCCTATCCCCCATATTAATTTAATATAAGAGATAGTATTAAATAAAATTACTATTTTATTTCTTCCTACTTATTGTCCAAAAAGATATAATTATTATTGATAAAAAATTAATTTTTCACTACTTCATTTAATAAAATATTTAGATTGAAATGAAATTATTTGAAAGAACAATTCTTGAGATTTTTTATTATGTAAATCATAACCAACGTGACTAAACTAAGTAGAATTTATTTGATCTTCTATATGAAATTAATATAAATAATACAACAATAAAATACTTATTGTACTATTTATTTTAATTAATCTAAATTACTTATGATCTTAACATCATATTATAATTTTAGTGTATGGAAATTTGTGAATTTAGGACAGATAAATAATAGAATTAAATATTAATTAAGAATAAAAAGCAAAAGATCCATCTAATTTTGTTTGATAATTCTATTCAATATTAGAAATTAATTGATGAATACCATAATTATCACATAGATTAATTTATCTTACCTTAATCTGAAAGTTTACTTATTCTTGAGGTATAATGAAGATTATAAAATAGGATTTAAGATTGATTTACTTAAATTAAAAAGTAATAATAAAAAGATTATTATCATTTTAGAATAATTAGTAATACTAAAAATAAGAATTTATGCTATGTAACGATGACAATATTATTTGGATAACAAGAAATATTGTTAGTAAGAACGATGTTTACACATTTACACTTTAAAAATTGAAAATGAATCAATCATGATAAATTCTTTGAGAGCTAATTAAAAATTGTTGCTTAGATAAAATCTTAATCAAATGTATGTTTCTATTAACAATTATTAATAATGAAAAAATTTGAAAACCAATGATTAATGTGATCAGAAATTTTAAATCTATATTAGATTGTAAAATACCTAATTTGTTATTTATTCAATGAAATATTTTATAACAAAATTAATCAAGAGCTAACTAAAGTTCCTTGAATAGAAATACTTTATGAAATCGTTTATTATGGTGTTAACGCTTAAGCTTAGTGTAATCGAATTACATTAAAGGTATATTTAGAATTCATTTTTATTTATAATTATAATTCCTATTCAAATTCTATCAACTCCCAGCATACTGAATTTAAGCTCAAGCTATGATTAACATTATAAATGCTAGCTTAATTTTTAATATATATAAATGAATTAGTTTTGATAGAAAATATTTTTACAATAAATATAATATATTAATAAATATGAATGAATAATAACGTAGAGAATATCATTATTAATAGATTTTTATAATTGCTATTTGAATATTTCAAATATTCAATTAAAAGTGGAAATGTATACAAGTCATGGGTTTTAAGTGATAATTCTTATGTCTATACTAAGACATTCTTTCTTATACTAATAAAATGGTATAATAAATTAATAACTATTGATATTGTAAGTATATCAATATGTTTAGTATTTTTTCATTAATTAATTAAGTTTTGGCTTGATCACTTTCTTTCACGCTCCTTCTTCATAAAATTTAACTTGAATTTCAAGGTGATTCTTATCTTTTTAATAAAAATTCTAATTGGTTTATCCACTTAAACTTTGGAATGAATTTAATTAGATAGAGTGAAACCCTTTAGAAATAAAAAACTAGGGTGTCTTCGAGAATAAATCTATTTTCAAAACACTTGTAAATGTAAATTTCAAATCTTATAAGGCTATTTTCTTATTAAAATCCTAAATATGATTGTACTTTACCATTATTATGAACTTATCCAAACTAGGAAAAATAAATTTAATTCTTTCATATTCAGGATTCATAAGAAAAAAAGTAGATTATGTTTAATTTTTTTTTTAATCTTTTCATTAATTCTATTATTCTAACTTTAATAGAATTAACAAGCAAAATTTCTTATTGATTAAGAATTATATCTCTATTCTTGACTATTATAGACATTAGTACCAATAAATGTAAATAAAAAATCTTTAAATATTCCAAAATCATCAATTCAAATGTAATCTAGAAAATAGCAATAAACTTTGAACAATACTATAAAAATAGTCACTTAATTAAGTTTCTATTTATATTAAACATATATCAAGATAATAAATCTTGATTATCTTGCTTATCTAATCAATTATTAGTGAATATATATTATTTAAATTTAATATATTATGTTAGCAATTAGAATCTTAATTTATAAATATCCTATAATTATGAATAATTCATACATAAACTAGCAATTGTTTTACAAAATTTACTTATATGCAAAAATACAAATGATTTATATTATTATAGATATTAAGCTGAATATCTTAATGAAGACAACATCAATATATTCATATTTAAATATTAATATCTTTAAATTGTCCATAATAATCATTTTTCCTAGCATATACGTATTTGGATTTGTCTTGAACTACTATCCCAAGTAACTAGATAGTTTCCATCTTAACTTAATTACCCATAATTATCACAACTTCCAAATTCAATTATTTACTCAATTCTAAATTCACCATTTTCTTATATTCTCATTACATTAATACTCTTCCCATTCTTATTTATGAGAATCTGCTTTAGTCTTTTATATTATAATGGAAAGAATCTATTATCAACTTCTGAACCACATGATACAAATTATTCTTATTTTTTGATATACAAATTATTATTTATATCAAGTTCATAGATATACATTTTTTTTTTGAGATAAGGTTGGAATATAAATTATTGATTAGTAATAAAGTGTAATCTATATCCATATTAATCTAATTGAATTTTTTATATAATAAACCATTTGTTATTAAGACTTTACTTTTCAATTACAAATATTGACTTATCCTTAGAAGAAGAAATAAGTTTATTCTCTTGTTTATTTAGACTTAATGAAAATACTTCACCTAAATGATCAGTAATTACTTATTGAAATTAAAATTCATTTTATTTCTCCCAAAATTTGATCGTTTTATCTTCACTACCTGATATAATGAGACTATCTTCTTTATTCAAAACTAAACATGAAATCCAATTTAAATGCCCATCCAATTTTTATAAACAATTCCATTAATTAATTTGATTTGGTTACCATATAATAATGATTTAATCACCACTACCAGATACAAAATGATTTGTTTTCTTCATAAAATTTAATGTACTAACATCTCTTTTATGTTCATTTAATAATTATATCTCTTTCAAATTACCTTTTTCATGTTGAAATACTTTAATCTTTTCTCTACAACCTATTAAAATAAATGAATCATCATTATTGAAGGCAATTGCATAACATCTTCCATCTTACTTTATACTATTACTTTTCAAACGATTAAATTTCAAAGATTTAACACTTTATTATTAATATTAACTTATATGATTTGATGATTATTATTATATTAATGGTGTTATAATAGAAGATTATTGTTCTTGTAAATATATTCTTGAATATTGATTCTTCATTAAATCTTTGAAATCCATTGCAATCTATTGAAGTTATAAGGCTAATTAACTGAATTATTAAAGTAATAATTGCTCAAATATTTCTATTTAACATAACCCTTTTATTAATTAGTCTATTTTTGAGATTTCTAATTCATTTAATTTTTCTAAATTAAAGTTGAAATATGGATTAAATAACTTTCTAATGCTTTCAAGATCTTTATTACATTATGAAATAATCACTTATACATTATTAATACATTCCATTCTTACTTAAATCCATTCATTTAATAATTCTTATGGTATTAATTTATTCAGATGTAGAAAATGAATTGGCAAACAGAAATTACAATAAGGTCTTTATTATTAACATTATGGATCAGAACAAACTCCGATTATTTATAAATCACGATGGTCAGCTTTTGTGCATCTAATTTACATAGTCTTTATAGATTTATATATTATTTCAATAATAATTAAAATAAGACCGAAATATAATATTAACATAATTAATCTATTTGGTATTCAATATCTTATAATTAGAAACATACTAGGTAATCGAATACATTTAACATTATGATACTTTTTTATATAAAATTCCTTTAATTTTAAGAAATAATTGGGAAAATATATTAGATACACTTAATTTAAATCATCTAATCATTATTAAATTAATAATAAATAAATAAGAATTTATTACTTGTCAAAAGAAATTTAATAAATTTATTGAAGATTAATTCTAAATTTAATAAGTGTTAACAATATCAATTTTATTGTAGATACATTTCTTCAAAATGTAAATAAAAATATTCAATTACTTTAATAATTTAAATAGATTAGATAATATTAAATAAAGAAGAGAAAAAGTAGAATATGATAAATGAAAGATATATTTGATTTTTATTAATTTATTATTTATTTGGCGAGTTTATAAATTGAATATCTCAAAATAATATTGAAATTAAGATGATAATACTAGAGCTTATTAATTAATCGTAACATAATACACAACTCCCATCAGTTAAATTTCTTGTATTCCATCCTGCGGTTCTTCCAGATGAATTATAACAATTATATGCATTTAGATTGTTAACTTAAGTGGTTGAATTACATATATCTCCATTTAAATAACATAATTTGACTTCATATTATTAATTAGGTGAGCTAAGATAATAATTACAATTTTAAGTTTAATTGTAAAGAGTAGTACAATTATATTAGGTACAGGGATAGGACTGATTATATAAATCCCAATAACAAGCACCTACCATATTATTGCATAGTGATTTATTTTTAATCATGTTACAATTTTTAAGACCTAGACATGAGAGTTAAGTTTAATTCCAAAAACATATGCCATCAGCACCTAAAGAACCAAAACATTAATAATATAGTTTATAATCACTGCAATTATTAATGGATTATGAACAGTAGCCTTCATCTGTGATTCCAGGACAAAGAATGGATTGACTTAAACATTCTTATTGTGTATTTCCTTTTAATTAAGAACAAAATGATGAAGTTGAATTGACTTACTATTAACAATTTGGATTATTCCAATAACATTCTTAATTTAATATACATTAAGCTTAATTTGTTAATTAATTACATTATAAAGGATTGCATGTTTAATTAGAATAACTCCAAAAACAATTAGGAAAAGATGATATGCAATCAATTTAATTAATTAAATCTTTACATTAACATGTAGATTTTACATTTAAAAGGTTAGAAAACTAACATGGTAAACATAACCCTTTTTAGACATTACTTTAACTCCAATGATGAGTTCTTCCTGTTTAATTGTAACATTAATTTACATCATAATTAATTGAATTATTAAAGTAATTACACTATTAAGTATCAGGATTCCAAGAACAAATATTAATTATAGAATTATTAATAGAATTTTGAATATATGTGCAACTCTCTTTTGTGTGATAATCCTTACATTATTTTTGTTAACATTGATTATCTGTCTTAGTTGAATTCCAAATACATGCATAATTAAATTAATTACACAATTATAAACTAGTCAATTACGAGCAATTTTAAATATTAGAACAAGATTTATTTGTTATATCATAAGTACAATATCCATCACTACCTATAGAATTATAGCAGATATTAGGTTATATAGGTGTTGTATTAAATAATTTTGAACAGTTTGGTAATTATTATTAAGATAAACAATTAATACCATTAGATCCTGGACAATAAATAGAAGCTTAAATACAAAGAGAGTCTAACTTTCCTAATATGTTTTAACAATTATTATATGGTAAACATTTAGAAGGTAGTAATAATGCATTCCAATAGCATCCTTGAATTATTGCACATTATTATTATGATGTAATCTCTGAACATTATAGTTTATTACATGTATTATTGTTCCATTTACAATATGAAGAACTATTACATTCAGATTATAGAAATAATTGATCACATTCACACTCATTACGAAATTAATATTGATTTTTATTACATTATGCACATATACCATTCTAATAATCAACTGGTAACCATCTATAAAAATAATTAGTATTAGAAGCACAAGTTTATTTAGTTAATTAATCAGATGTTGTATTTATACAAGATTGACCATTCCAAATACATGGTTAAATTATTGCATCATTTAATGGAGTTGTTTATACAAATTTACATGTATTAGATTATAAAATTGATGAACATGTTAAACTAACACATTTTGTTCCTGTCCATTAACAAGCATATTATAACCATTTTTTTGTACATAATTTCTCTTATGAGAGTTCTTCACATTATTTCACAACTTTACAAGATGATCCATTCCAAAAACACATTCCTTCATTTGCTAATGTTATAGTGCTATTTGTTTATTATGTACCTCCACATTAATTTTATGATAGTCCTTAACATTGCAATCCTGATTCTATACACTTAGTTAAATTCGTTTATGATTATACACATTTAGGATTAGCACCTTAACATGTTTATCCAGAACTTAGAATTAGATCTTCACATTTAGAAAATCTATAACAAACCTAACTAATTGAAGAATTAGATTCTTAATAGTAACATCTATTATATTCATTTTGACATTATTATTAATTTAATTACTCACAAGACACTTAATCACAATAACCTGTCTATGGTATTACTCCTTAAGCTGACGTATAATTCCATTAACAATTCCAATTATTACATTCTGTTTCACTAATAATCTATTAACATGCACACTAAATATCCGAAATATTTTTTTATTGTCTAAATACCTAAAATGTAGCAAACAAAATAAATGATATTTTCATCATGCTTTTTTTAGATTAATTTAATTTTTATTTTTAAATCATTTCATTCTACTTTTAATATATAAATTACATTACTATTTTTTAATATTTCAATTAATAGATAAAGAAATCATAACTAAATCATAATAATTATATATTATTTAAACATTACACTATTATTATAATTATAAAACTATCTATATATTATAATTGATTAATTTATTTAATTATATATTATCATATGGTTAAATCATATTATTGATATACATTTTACAACTATTTGGAAATCCTAAATAGTAATTATTTTTTATTAATTTAATATCTATAAATAATTCTAACCCTTATTAATCAATTATAACTTTAATATATGTTTAAAGAATTTTTGAATTATTTTCAAGGTTTTGAATACCAATTCTATCTATTAGATAACATGTATTTGAGTTAATATGCTAAATATACAAAATATTCAATTATATTGAAAAAATTATAAAAGAGTAGNGTTCCTGTCCATTAACAAGCATATTATAACCATTTTTTTGTACATAATTTCTCTTATGAGAGTTCTTCACATTATTTCACAACTTTACAAGATGATCCATTCCAAAAACACATTCCTTCATTTGCTAATGTTATAGTGCTATTTGTTTATTATGTACCTCCACATTAATTTTATGATAGTCCTTAACATTGCAATCCTGATTCTATACACTTAGTTAAATTCGTTTATGATTATACACATTTAGGATTAGCACCTTAACATGTTTATCCAGAACTTAGAATTAGATCTTCACATTTAGAAAATCTATAACAAACCTAACTAATTGAAGAATTAGATTCTTAATAGTAACATCTATTATATTCATTTTGACATTATTATTAATTTAATTACTCACAAGACACTTAATCACAATAACCTGTCTATGGTATTACTCCTTAAGCTGACGTATAATTCCATTAACAATTCCAATTATTACATTCTGTTTCACTAATAATCTATTAACATGCACACTAAATATCCGAAATATTTTTTTATTGTCTAAATACCTAAAATGTAGCAAACAAAATAAATGATATTTTCATCATGCTTTTTTTAGATTAATTTAATTTTTATTTTTAAATCATTTCATTCTACTTTTAATATATAAATTACATTACTATTTTTTAATATTTCAATTAATAGATAAAGAAATCATAACTAAATCATAATAATTATATATTATTTAAACATTACACTATTATTATAATTATAAAACTATCTATATATTATAATTGATTAATTTATTTAATTATATATTATCATATGGTTAAATCATATTATTGATATACATTTTACAACTATTTGGAAATCCTAAATAGTAATTATTTTTTATTAATTTAATATCTATAAATAATTCTAACCCTTATTAATCAATTATAACTTTAATATATGTTTAAAGAATTTTTGAATTATTTTCAAGGTTTTGAATACCAATTCTATCTATTAGATAACATGTATTTGAGTTAATATGCTAAATATACAAAATATTCAATTATATTGAAAAAATTATAAAAGAGTAGTTTATTTTAAGAATAATAAATATATTATCATTTTTTTTAATTTATTTCATTTATATTATATAAGTAAAATTATATATTAATTATATATATTTATTATTTATTGATGCAATTATAATACAATCAAATATAATAAGAAGAATTTAGTTATGAATTACAGCCATAATTTACTATCAATCAAAAAGAATAGTGCAATGCTATTGCTTTTAATCAAAATCAATAATTACTCTTAGTTGCTTATGATAAAAATATTAAAGTTTATCAATTCAATAATGGATTATTAATACTCATCTAAATAATACCAAAAAATCGATATAATATCTCAATCCTCAATTTCTTTTATTATAATAAATATTCTTAATTTATATCAGGATCATGTGATAGTGTTATAATTATTAGATCAATAACATAATTAAGAAATCAAAAATACATTTAGAAATTGAATTCTCATTAGAGAGGAATTTGTTGTTTAGTTATAGGTTAAGATTAAAATATGTTTTTATCAGGAAGTGTAGATTAAACAATTAAATTATGGAGTTGTTTCTAATAATAATAAGTTAGTTGTCAATGGTCTTGTTAATAGACAATTATAGATCATAATAATGATGTCTATGCTTTAGATATTAATTAATAATAAACTAAAGCAATATCATGTGGATATGATGATACAATGTTAATTATGGATATAGTTAAATATATGCAAACTTATAAATTGATATTGAAATAAACGATTAAACTTTCTAATTTTGGTTATCGAATCCTATTCTTAAATGATTAAGATTTCATATTTTAATCCTATAATGCTAAATTTCTTTCACTATTTCAATTAAATTAAAATTAATAATATGTAATAACATAATAATTACCTGTTTAATCTCTAAGCTAGCAATGCAATATATTTTTTTAGCCTTAACTTATTAGGTCAAAAGGGTTCTTTGCTTGCAAAAATAGTTAAAATCTTAATTTTATTAGGTTTAATTCTATAAGTAATGAACTTGAATTATTACATTCTATAAAACTTGATAATTATTAATAATATGGATAATTAAGTGAGGATGGTGAATATCTTATAATTTGGGATGAGAAATTAGAATAATTATAAATAAGAAAATATAAAACAATTCATATGTAAATTAACTGAATTTAATTATTAATATATAAATTGAATTATAATTAAATAAGATAGAATTTTGATATGACTATTAAAAATTAATTGAATTTAAATAATTTATTTACATTATTAAATAGTTGAATTTGAATTAATATATAGAATCATATATGAAAATAATCATATCTATTTACCTTTATAATTCTACTTAAGTAACATAAGATAATCTAATAATTGTTTGATTCAATTATTATTATTTATTAAATTTATTATCATCTTATTAGCCAATTCGTGTGAATTATAATAAAATTACCTAATAATTGAAATAATGATATAGTCTCATAATTTATTATGGAATGAAAACAAATTTATATCAAATTAAATATAATAATTAAAAGGATTAATTTTTTGACAATTTGTTTCATAATTAACTATTTTGAATTATATCTAATTCTATGGTAGTATTCATTTTTATTGTATAAATATTAACTTTTCAACAAAATTCAGTTAATTCTTATCATAAACCACTTTTAAAAAAACTATAATTAATTCATTTATTATTCAAATATCCAATATCTTTTGTAAGTGCATTTAAAGAACCTAAATATCCAATTAAAAACAATAATTCAGAAAAATTGAATTTATTTAATCTTGAAAAGAAGAATAATGAACTATAGATTTAATGAATAATTAATTTTTATAAAAGAGCAGATAGAAATAGATTTAAAAAGTATTTATTTATATTATTTCTTAATTTGATGTAGTACTTCATCTGTATGAATTATAATTATAATCTACTAAATTTCTATTTGCCAAATTTTAAATTAAATAAGTAATCAATAACTTGTGTTCCAAATTTATTAGAGATTAATTTAAAATATATTTTAATTAATTTTTTTATTTCATCTTAAATTTAATCATTAAAGTATTCTTAATAATATGCTCTAAATTTCTTCTATTAGAATAATAGGGATACATATAATACTGAGAATTTTAATTAATATTTAATTTTTATCGATATCATTACTATAAATAGGGGAATAATTTTTTGAATTATAATTATTAAATATATTATACCTTAAAAATGGAATCATAAAGTAATATATTGCGTTGTCTAGATCACAATGAATTTGTTGTATTTCTTGCAAGATCTAAATCAATGTAAAAGACAAAAAAACTTTGCCATAAATGTGTCATTGACAAAAAAAAGGATTTAACCTTAAAAAGTTTAATCTTATTAGATGATGCTAAGAAATATCTTTAAGAAACTAAGTCTGGAATATTAGAAGAAAGAAATTCACTAAATAATTATAATATAGGAATTTTAAATGATATTAAAGAAAATATTGGGAATCTTACACTAAACTTCAATCTGTAAATTGATAAAATAAAAGAAAATATAGACTCTGGGATTAAGATAATTGAAGCATCCGCAATAAAATTCTAAAAAGAATTAAGTGATATTTCATTAGATCAAATAGAGAATATCAATACAGATAAAAGCTCAATTTTATGCTAATTCATTAATTATAAGGAATTATAATCTTCTCTTATAAATTAAATAAGTAATCTATTTAATAGTTAACTTTTGTAAAAGTGTTAAAAATTAGTATCAAGTTTAAATGTTGGTGAATAGAATGAGACTTTGAATTAACTATTTAATATTGGGTCTTTTATAGATTAATACACAGAGATTAAAGCAGATTGGATATGTGATAAGCATGAAAAATAAATAGAGTTTGTTGATTTATCTTAATAAAAAAGTATTCAAAATAGATTAGCCTGTCTTGAATGTGTTCCTGAATATGTTATATAATACAATAATTTAGGATAATTACAAAAGTAGTGGGAGAAGTATACTGAATAAGCTTTAACATTCTTTAATGTTTATTAAACAAATTCTTCAAGTAAAAAAGCATAAATAATACTCTCATTGAAAGATTTTAGAAAAGTAATTTTGAAGTTATTTGACTAATCAATTGAATCAATTTAAATCAAATCTTAATTAGAAAATGACGATTTAGAATATCATCATAAGTTACTATAAAAAACATGGCAGAAATTAAGTAAAGTAGATCTAATTAATATTGTTGATCTTCTGAGTTCTTAAAATAGATTAGCTCTAATTAATCACATGATAGAATAAGAATTTTAAACCAAAGATTAAGCTATTGATTCAATCATATGTTCTCAAATGCAGCAACTCTAAAATTTAATAAACTCTACTTTTTCATAATCTATTACATCCACCATAAAACCATTCACTGGAAATGAAAAGCTTAATAAGAATAAGATTGATGTTGAATCATAAATTTAATAATAATTCTCCTTATAATCATAAATTGTCACCCTTAAGTTATAACTTAATAAGCAAATCATTTACCTTAAATTTTCAAGCCATTTAATTATGAACTAATCTCTTAAATTTCAGAAACAAGTAAATGTAGAACATTCGCATTTAATAATGAATAATCGATAATAATTACTGGATAAGATGGTGGATCATTAAAGGTCTTTGAATTCAATGCAGGATAATTAAAAGAAATTTAATTACTTAAAGAACATTCAAGTTACATTCAATGTTTATATTTCATGCAAAAATCTTCTTTTTTTTTATCTGCTGGTAATGATAAGTAGATAATAATTTGGTAGGTGAATAGTTAAAAATAATGGTAGAGTTATCAAAAATTAGAAGGTCATACTGATAGAGTTAATTGTTTAATAATGAACAATATAGAAGACTGTATCATATCTGGTAGTAACGATAAAACTATTAAGTTTTGGGTTTAAGAGAATTAATTATGGAAATGCAATTAGACGTTATCAGATCATACAAATAAAGTTAGATGTCTATCATTAAACATATCATAGAATTAGTTGATATCATGTGGTGAGGATAAATTGTTATTAATAATCTCATTAGATAATAATAAAAGATGGAATACAATCTAAAAGATATCAGTTGAATATTATGGATATAGTTTATGTTTCATTACTGATTAAATGTTTACATTTTAGCCTAAATAAATAAATATCATGCATATCTATGAACTAAGTACATTAAGTTAATAATTTATTAAAATTGAAAAAGAAGTAAGCATAAAGTCAGATGCTGATTGTTCGTCATTATTCCCTTAAAAATTCATAAAAGAAAAATAAATTCTACTAAATAAAAATGGATAAAATGTAAATTTAATTAGGCTTCACAGTAATGGTTTATTCAAAACAGAATAATCTATTGAGAATAAAGGTGATTGTTGTGGATTATTTGGTACTATATCAAATGATGGAAATTATTTAGTCACATATGAGAGTGCTAATAAAGAAATAAAAGTAAGAAAATATAGAGAAAATTGATTTGTGTAAATTTACATTTCATGAATTCTAATATATTTATATTCTGATAATATTTAATAGATTTCTTAAGGTTATTGTTAAATTATTTAAATATATATATCTTTTTAAGTAATCAAATTTTGTTGAGTAAAACTTTAACTTTTTAAATTTGACTATTAAAATAAAGATCTAATATATTTTAAATTTATTAATTATGGAAGGATATTTGAAAACTTTATAGAAATTTATTTTAAAAATGGGAAATCAAATGATAATTCAACAATCAATAAATTGCTATAATAAATAAAAATATACAATATTCAAACATAATCTTCAATTCATTGTTATTTAATATATTCAATAGCAAGGGATTCAGGATTAAATTCATTTATGGATCTAACAATTATATCCTTAAAAGAACAAACAGAAGATTAATTTATTATATATTAATAGTTCTCTTCTAAATATTTCAAAATTATCAAAATGTGTAAGATCCCAGTTTTCCAAAAATTGCTTTATGAATATTCTTCATAATCAATTTCTAAAATTGAAATCTTTTCTACAAACAATTCAAATGTATTAAAATGATTCTTTTCATAAGTATATTTTATATTGTTCATCAAATATAAGGAAGCTTTTTCTATCTCTCTTTCATATTCAGATGTACATATTGCAAAGGCTTACAAAATTTGTTTTAAATTGAAAACTCTACTTGAACACTTTATTTCTTAAATATTATCATTTAAATCAAGAGATGCATTGATTAAACAAAAAGTTTGATCGATTATTGGAATAAATCCTTCTTTTGGATTGTTGATCTTCTCGATTTTTTAGATAATTTCCAAGATAGGTTTTGAATTAAATTCATAATTAATTAAAAAACAATCTGATGAAATTATATCTATAATATATAAATAATTAAAAAGATGTCAAAATAATGAACGCTAATACAATTTCATTTTTGGATTTATAAATTCTCTTTACTTTGTAAATTATATATAATTAGTAATAGTTTCTTAAAAATTTAAAGGATTTATTTAATTAAGATAATTTCTATTTCATAATCTTGGTTACTTTTTAATTTACTAATTTCTATATTCAAATTTTTAATTTCCTCCATTTACTATTTAAGTTTCTATAATACTTCCTCTTAATTTTCTGTAGATTTTGATGGTACAAGTTATAATAAAATAATATCAATATTATTAATCTAAGATTGATATTATTTATGCTAGATTTCAGAAATACTATTTTTTTTCAGCAAATATTCTATCTCTTCATTAACATTTTGAATTTCTTTATCTAAGTATGTTAAAATTTCAACTTTTGATTGAAGAAAAATCATTTTATCTTTGGATAATTAGAATTAATATCTTAATAAAGGACTTACTTTTAATGAACATTAAATTGCCTTTTAAAAATTCTAATTAGCTTGATTAAATTATTTTAGAGAAAAGTAAAGAAAATCTAAACTAAAATAATATTATGGATTTGTAGGCAATATTTCAATGGCTTTTGAATTATCTATTATTGCTTTTTCAAAAATCTCTTAATTAGAATAGATAAGTCCTTGTTTTTGATAGATTATTTATTACCTCTATTATAATAAGCTGCAGCATGTTTAGAATTTAATTAAAGAGCTTTAGAATAATCATTTATTGCTTCTTCATGTTTTCCTTAATTTTTATAAGCATTTGCTAGTCATCTAAAATTATTTTAACTCTGATATAAAAAGCATCAGCATTTTCTCTATTTAATTATATTGCTTTTGAACAATCGATAATAGCATCATCAAATTTACCTCAATTTACATATGCATTACCAAAACTTTGTATATTGATAATTACCTCTATTATTATATGCAACTGAATATTGAGGATTAATTTCAATTGATTTAGAGTAATCTGATATTGCTTCATTAAAATTTCCTAAATTCTAATATGCATTTTCTGATACTTAAATTATCTTAATTACTTCTATTATTATAGTTAATTAGAAAATTTTATCTTATAAAAATTTAAGATTTAAGTTTTTGAAATTACAACATGGTAAATTATTTAAAGTCAATTTTATGAAATTATATTAAATTTCAATTACTCTAATTTAAATAGTATATGATAGGAATTAAAATCAATTGGTTATTTTCAACTATATAAGCTTAAGCATTTTCAGGACCCATCTAGATGAATTGAGTGTAATCAATAATAGCTTCTTCAAATTTACCCTGTTTTCCATAAACTAATCCTTATTATGATTAAAAACTATGTAAAACCTCTATTAAAGTAGACTGCATTATATAAAGGATTAATTTTGATGGCAATTGTGTAATCTTTTATGGCCTCTTCTAAAATGGCCAAACTTTAATATGCATTACCTGATATTTTAAGTATTTGATAACCTCTATTATGATAAGCAGCAGCATACTAAGGACTTTCTTCTATAGCTTTATTATATTCTTTTATTGCCTTATTGAACTTTCCTTACTTTGAATATACTAGACCTTATCATAATCAATTATTGATTACCATTATTTAAAAAACCATAAGAGAATAAACTTTAATTCATTGAATAAATAATTTATTCAAAATTTATATATAATTAAACTTTTTTTTGCTTAATCATAAATAATTATAATAATAATTAAGAATTACATTATTTCTTTAATATAAACAAAAAAATATGTATTTAAATTAATTCTATTTTTTCAATCTCACCAATTATGAATTAATTTTCAAATATTTGTGTATAAATAATTTATCATCTGGTGGATATTAATTAACATATTTTTTTCTAATCAAATTTAAATATGTTAAATATCTGATATTTATCAATTTGTTTGTTTAAAACGAACTAGTATTAACTATTAATTCAAGAATAAATAATTAACCATTTGAGATAAGAGCTTAATAATAATTAAATGATTAAAATTCATTAAATTGAAATAATGAGTAAATTCATAACTTTAAATTACAGTTTTGATGATTTTATAACATAATCTCTTACTTGATCAACAAATTTAATTTGTAAAATTAAAAAATTATAAACTCCAAATATATAATTAAATTAATTATACATGTAAATTTAATAGCAGAATTCCTTCAACATTGTTATAATAGGTGGTGAAGGGTATGTAATTCATAATCTATATTTAGAGCAGGTAAAACCACACTTTTTAATCAACTTGTTGCTGGTAAATTCAATGAACACTATTATAAAACAATAGGTATAGATGTAGAAATAAAATAAATATCTATTGAGGATATATAATATAATTTATAAGTAAAGACTCATATTTAATGTATTAGTTTTATGATACATCAGGATAAGAAAGATTCTAAACTATATGTAGTTAATATTACAGAAGAGCACAATGCTGTGTTATAGTTTATGATTTAACAGATCCATATGATATTACAACAATTAAGAATTGGATGAGATCCTTTTCTATTTAATGTGGTCTAGATCCTAAACATAAATTTCCTTTTGTTATTGTTGGAACTCGTATGGATAAACTAAATTAAGAATAAAATATAAATCTTGATCTCTCTGATAATATTCAGTCTTTTTAGGTTTCATTAAAAGATGATAATTCAGTATAATAAATATTATAAGCCATTATTAATGTTACTGTATTAAAATAACATGCAATTATTAAACATTAAGAAAAAGCCAAATCCAATCCTATTTGTCAAAAGTTTACAAATTCAATCAATAGAGACATTGAAAAATTGAATGAAATTATGACTTTAATACAATCAAGTAAAGAAAAAATAGTAGAAACCTATGATCAACTAATTAATAATGTAGGATAATGGTAAAATTAATTGAAAGATCTTAAATGCTTTTATAATAGTCCAACTTTTTTAGATAAAATAGAATAATCAAATTTTTCATAAGAGTTGTTTATCGAATAAGAATAAATAACATTTAATGATAAAATAGAAAAAGTTAATTAATCCTATTCTGAAAAATCTGAAAATGGACTTAAAGATATCAATAATTTAATAGAAGAAGCTTCTAAGTTGAAAATTTAGTTTAATAATTGAAAACCTAATTGAAAGGTTGTAGTGAAAAATCAATAATATATTAGAAATAATTATCAATATAATTTTTTTCTGAATTCAAATTGATCTAAGTTGTGAGTTCTTTTTTTTAAGTTAGAAGAATTATTTTTACAGAAAAGTAATAGGTTAGGTTAAGATCCATCTATTTTCCACATGTTAATCAAATCTGATTTAAAATTAAAAATATTTTTGTATTTAATTTAATAGATAATATAATTAAATCAAATAAATTCTTAAAAAATTGTGAATGTAAATATAAAGGTTGGATAATCTAGTTTTTACAACATATTTTTGGTTAAATCTATTTTAAATGAATTTTTAAGGAAGTACGGGCATTTTGATAATTAGAAAGTTTCTATAATTATCCAAATTTATTCTATGAATATAAAACTTTGATTTTACATTGTGATTAGTATAATATGTTTTATTTGATAACCATTAATTAATAATAAATAAATTCATATATTAACAAAGTAATTAATATCAAAATTCATAATAAAGGCTAGTTTTTTGTTTAAATAATTATAAATTAAGCCAAATAATGTGATATTATTCTGATTGAAAATAACAAAAACTGTATATCAGATATTGGAATTGTAGTCTAACTTTTTTAAATTAAATGAGTATATCTAATAGAAAATAGCAGTAGTAGATACAGGATATAGTTGTTACTGGATCAAATAATTGCAAAAATAAATTTAAGTTTATCCATAGCCTATCTATTAAAATGGTATGAAAAACAAATAATGAAATGCTCTAATATGAAAATAGTTATTTATTTAGAAATCAAAGCGATTATAGAGATCTAAATGTAATACTGGATATAAAATCAGGAAACTAATTTCAAAAGTTTGAGAGCACTTAATAAGAATCAATCAACATTTATATCTATTCTGGTTTATATTCAAAAATGAAATAAATTTTGAGAAAGTACATATATTACAGAAGCGGCAGAAAACTAAAACTAATTTCAATATATGCTGAATATAAATGACAAAATTACCGCTTAGAAATAAAAAAATACTTTTAAATCTCCTCATTTATTTTAATTTTCACATAACTCAATATATTTTTATAAATTTGATGGATTTTGATAATAAATACTTATAACATTTTATTTTGTCTAAATAATGCTTAATTTTCTTAATGATGCTAATAATTAATTTAATTTCATGACCAATTTTTAAAAAGACAAACTAGAATAATATGAATTATCAGAGGAAATCATAACAATATGTTAAAATAAAATGTGAGTTTCAGTTTCCTCAAAAGTTAAGAATTATTTTGCTGGTTATAATAATGGTAAATGTTTAAGAGATGAAATTTATACAATAAGAGGATCATTTTATTTCGTATGGTGTGGAATAGGATATTCTATAAAATTATATCTAATTGAATTAAATTCTTTAAAAATCTAGCTTATAATAGAGTTAATAGATTTTAGAGGTTTCAAGTTTATTTAAAATTCTAAAATACAGAAACTAAAATTTATGAGAGTAATTTGGCATAAGATATATTACAATAAAATTTCCATTTTAATTAGTGAATTTTTTAAAATATATAATAATATTGGTAATAGGATTACATGTGATATAATCTGAAGAGTATTATAGATTGTAAATAAATATGCTTTAATTAAATATGAATCGTTGCAAAATTTTTTTTATGAATATGATTAAAACAAACAATTCAAAGAATTCGATTTTATTATTGTCTATAATATATTCATTTACTAAAAATTCTTATTTAAATTAGAATATATTATTGATTAGTTAAATAATTTATGATGAAATTTAATATATGAAATTTTCTAATGAATTAAATAATTTAATGAATACTCAAAAAGGTACTCAAATTCTATTAGAATTTATTTAAACTTTAATTTCTTCAAGAAATGATATCATAAAAATAAAAAATGAAGAGTGGACGAAAATTGGTTCCAATTTAAAATCCTCATTCTGTTAACAAACAAAAATAAATCGAACCTTAAACTTAGAAAAAAAGTAGGATCATCAAAAGAGCTCCAGAAAAAAAAAATGAAAAATAACCTTTTTCAAATATAAAAGATTAAAAATTAGTGTAGTAATAATAGAAATCATAACAATAACCTATTTTAAAGTAAATCAAATAAAAAGCTTAATAAGATGAATAAAATAATTACCCTATTGCAGTGTTATTAGGTACCCCAGGAGTTGGCAAAACTTAAATTATGCATAAATTATTTCCAAACGAAAAATAATTAAAAGAATTTACATTATATAAATTAGAAGATCTAAAATACAATTTTGTTGACACCTCAGGATTCGATTTTGAGGGGGATATAGATTGGAGAGAGGTTCAAATCAAAAATTATTAGAATTTATTCTTAAAATTTTCAAATCAAATATCTTCACTATTTGTAGTAGTTAATTTTGAAAGAACTGATTTAATGAAAAAAAAATTGCTTTCTGTTTATAAGTACTTTAGGAAATTTAAAAATTTAATGAGTATAGTTGTTACTGATTTTCATTTGAGTGAAAGTAATCGAGATAAAGAACATTTAAAAAAAAATTTCTAAATATTTTAACCAAATGATATACTATTTGTAAGAGGAGATTTAAAATCAGAGGAATTAAAAGAATCATTGAAAAAGTCTAAAATGTTAAATAAATTAATTGAATCTAATTAATTTAACTTAAAAGACACAATCTTTGAACTATATGATATGGAAGAATATAAGAATATAAGATAAGATTTATTAAAATTGATAAATAAATGATTATATTATTTTAGAATGATAAATTATTGTTATTGTTAAAAAATTAATATCTTAATTCTTTCATTTTACTTAATTTAGAAATAACTAAACTAAGATAAATTTCTTAATTCATTCTGATTTTTGGTTTTTATTAGTCGGTTTTTTAATTCAATTTATTACGCAAACTTATAACCTATAAAATAGTGGATATAAATCTATTTAATTTAATAGTGTAAAAATTATGTAATATAGATACAACTATTCTTTTTAGGGAACTGTTTTAATTAAAGGCATCTATAGTTTTAGTTAGAGAAATTGAACAATATTATGAATAATACAAAAACATTAAGAAATTGAAATTTCTATTAGAGAATTTTAACATACATAATTTAATGGTTTTGCAGTATTTATCAAATATATTCGATAATAAAACCAAAATAGAAATAAGACTCTTTTTGCTCATTCTTCTGCATTAATTTGACTCAAAAAAATAAATGTGAATTTAATTCATTTAATAAGTTAGATGTTCTTTTCTAAGATACTTTAAATGCTATTTCTGATTATTTAATGATAGAATTCTTAATGAGTTTAAAAAGTTTAAACTGCAAAATCGCTTAAATAAATAGAAATTAATACTGATCTAATTCATTTAATGCTTTGTATACAGGACAGGATATTTCACATGTACCAACTTCTCCTAAGAAGTTTGCAATTAAATTAAAACGGGTTCTATCTCCAGCAGTCAAAATGGCTTTAAACCATCTAAACTTTAATTCATAGTCATTATCATTAGTTAATTAAAGATCTTTGTCAATTTATTCAATAATATTTAATTTTAACTGGTTATTTTGGGCTTTTTTAAATAATTCCTCCAAAAAAACCTTTTTTTAAGATGGATAAAAATTAAAGTATTAAGCATAATTATCAGGTTACCTACCATCAGCTATTATATAAGAAGTTGTATATTATTATGTTTCAATAAGTTTATTAGTTGAAAAATCTAAAATAATTGGTGGTAATCCTGGTTGATAAATCCAAGTATCCCAATATTCTAGGATTCGATATCTTTTAGTTGAATAATCATCAACATGCTGTTCATATAAATATCGAAGGATAAAGTGTTAGAATTCTTGTTGGTCAATTGATTTATACTTATATTTATTTAAATAAGATCTAAGCATATATTTAAAATCTTCTGCTCCAACGATTCCTTCTAAAAATGTTAAGAATTAGAATCCTTTTTCGTAAGGTATTTCAGAAATCGATAGTTATGGATTAATTCCTGTTGTATCAGGATGAAGAGATGTAAAATTATTATCTGGACCCAAATCCAAAATATCTTAATACATAGTTGCATTTCCAATTATGGCATTTAATTTAATATCATCAAGAACTTTGTAATAAAATAAAGAAGCCTTTCTTTCTAAAAAAACTGTAAATCCTTCATTAATCCACATGTTTGCCCAATTAATACATGTTATGGTATTCCCAAACCATGAGTGAGCCATCTCATGAATAGCAACATATAATCCACTGCCAGTCTTTGTCATAATTGTCGGACTGGCGAATGTTAATAATGGATTTTCCATACCTCCATAAGGAAAAGAAGGGGGCAATATCACAATTGTGTAAGTTCCCCAAGTGTATGGTCCTATATATTATTCAATAGCCTATAAAAATTATTCCATATCTTTAAGTTCTTCTTTGTATTCATTAATTTTATCAGGCTCACTAATCAAAAAGGTTCTGCCTCCATTACTTGTTGGTACTTTTAATAAATTACCTGCAACTATGGCAAATAGATAGCTTGGTATTGGAGTTTTTTAGACAAAATATTTATACTTCCAAGTAAAATTAGGATTAATCGAAGGATGATTTAAAATTGTAAATTATTCTTAAGTTTCATCAGCTGACATAAAAACATCTGATGCTTCTATGTCTTTGTAGATTATTGTAGCAGAATATGTTTGTTTGATAGCAGGTGTATCTTATAATGGGGCTAGAGATCTACAATAAGCATCTTCACATTAAGTAAATAAGTACGGCATGCCTAAATAGATTATAAGCATTTTTCACTTTTCGTTTATGTTTGTGATATATCCATAAAACTAATGGATTCAGAACGAGCATCAATTGAGTATTTGATCGTTAAAATAACAAATTCGTCCCTTTTATATTCCCTATTAAGCATTATGTTCAATCTTTAGCCCTAATCACTATCAGCGTATGGATAATCAACTGAATAGCGAAGAACAACACCATTGTCCATATAAATCGTATAGATTGTCAAATCTTTGATGTCTAAACTAATCTAATATAGTTTTGCTATTTAACTTTGTATATTGATGATCCAACAACATGAAATTAATAATTAGCTGTAGCATTGATCAATTTCTTTTCCATATTTATTAGCCATTCAAAATGAACATGCCTGTTTTATACATCAAGATAGTTTGAAAATGTGTTAACATCAATTTCATATGAGAATACAAATTTGATAAATAAAAGTCCCAATAAAATCATTTTTCTATATTTGAAATTATCTCAAACTTAATCTTCAAAAATAAACTAAAGTTTGTTAGAAACAATATGGAAAAAAAAATTTGAGTTATTTATTATTAACATATTACACTTCGCATTTTACAATTATTACCAAAGCTTTGTAGTTTAATGTATTGTTTTCAGTTCCCTCTTCTAGAATTAGTTTGATATTAAGCTATTTGAAATTTTCTTTGATTTAATACTTTTTTTGAGATAAGATATTTGAAATTTAATTTCTGAATAATAATATCCTCAAATAATTAAGGAAATCAATTTTTTTATCTGAATAACAATTTAGTTATAAAAATCACTTATCTGCTCTGCTTAAATCTTAATGTATTTGTCTAATTTTAATCTTAATGCAATATAGCTTCACTACAATCAATTTTTTTATCTTTAATTTTATAAGGGTGTTCTTCTAAGACTCCTTTCCTAAACTTTAAACAGAGCTTGATAATATTGTCACTAACTACAAAGCTATCGAAATCTGTTGAGACTCTTTAATAATCCAGTTCTAAAAATAATTTCGTAGTAGAAATAGGCCAATCCCGAAATTTATTATTTCCATTTTTAGTGAATTTTGGAATGAAATGTACTTTTTTTAATTTCAGAAATATGTATAAACATCCGAATAATGTAAATGAAATTCTATATTTCAATTTGAATTATTTTTGTATTAAAATATTTTAGAAGTTGTTAGCTATTTTCAATTTTATAGAAATGACTAGAGAATTAATTTTCCTGAGCTTCCAAAAATAACTAACAGAATTATAAAAACTAATTGGTAACAATAAAAAAATAGGTCATAACAAAAAAAATGCCTATTCAACCAAAAAAGTTATTAAAAAATTATGTTCATTATTTGACTACTATCCCTAAAATATCTTTATCATCTAAAGAAAAAAAAAAATACAACGGACTAAAGAATTTCAAAAATAATTTTATTTCAATCAAATTCATATTGACTAGATCAAATTGAATTAGCAATAGGTGAATTTTATATACTCAAATCAATTAAAATTTTTAAATTGCATTGAAAAAAAAATAACAAAATAGCTGATTTAGAAATTTTTTAGACAAAAAAACTCTTTTAAATAAATTGGGTTAAGGAATATGGGTATTAAACCTCAAATAACATTATATATAAAAAGAATGTTTCCTTATCCTTTTATTCTATATCAAAAAAAGAGTGTGATTAAAAATTATTTAAAAAACCAGTAAATTAGTTACATAACAAAAATCTAAATGTATTGGGGTGTGTTTGAGATAATCACTTTATATAATGTTAATAACGTTGTAAAGTAAATGAAAAAATTAATAAATAAATGGGTTAATGATTAAGAAACTGATTGAAAAAGTTATTACATATTATGAAGAGTAAAATTTTAACTTAATTCTTTTAAATTGCCAAAAAAATCGTTTTAATACATTATATATCCTTATTTTGAATCAATAGATGTAAAGTTAAATACATCTGTTTACAAAAAAATAGAGATCAATTAATTAAATTATAAAGACTTGAAATCTAGAATTTAAAGGAGTATAGATTTACATGAAGTAACTATAAAAAGTTTTTTAACCTATAATATAATGAATTGATTTTAGAGATGTAATGATTATACATCTTTTAATATCTTCTGTATTTATTATTCAAGACTTCTTTTCATTTCTGTATTCGCTTTGCTTTTAATGGCTTTTTCTAATATATCATAGAAGTTTATTCCATGATATTCAGATAAATGCAAAAGTCCACATCTCCTTTTGATATGAATTTTGCATTTGCTTAAATTCAATAGAAACAGATATTTAGATTATTTGGTAAATTCATAAATCTGTTTCTTTGTTTTTTTTTTTAATATCCATAATTTGTTCTTCCTCTCCGTGTCTGAATTAACACTTTATTGATGTTTCCCATTATTTTTCAATTGCCATGTCCAAACATGATCCTTAAATTAATTATAGAAACCTCTTCATACTTTACTTCCAAATAGTATTAATTTTATTTTATATTTCTTTTGTTTAAGTGAATAAAATCGGAAGTAGTTATTAGATTTGAGGTTTAATATATATATTCTAAAGTAATATTCTGGTTCCTAGACTAAAGTCTTTAGATAGTTTCTTTATTTACAATTCTAAATATTTTATTTTTGATTTGGTAGCATTGACATGATTATTAATATTCCCACTTCCATCAATATCTACTCCAAGGTACTTATTATTTCTTTGAAAAGGAATACCAAGCAAATTTTTTTATTCTTATAGTTCTAATTTCAATAATCTTCTAGTTATTCTTATTATGGCACCNCTCAAATCAATTAAAATTTTTAAATTGCATTGAAAAAAAAATAACAAAATAGCTGATTTAGAAATTTTTTAGACAAAAAAACTCTTTTAAATAAATTGGGTTAAGGAATATGGGTATTAAACCTCAAATAACATTATATATAAAAAGAATGTTTCCTTATCCTTTTATTCTATATCAAAAAAAGAGTGTGATTAAAAATTATTTAAAAAACCAGTAAATTAGTTACATAACAAAAATCTAAATGTATTGGGGTGTGTTTGAGATAATCACTTTATATAATGTTAATAACGTTGTAAAGTAAATGAAAAAATTAATAAATAAATGGGTTAATGATTAAGAAACTGATTGAAAAAGTTATTACATATTATGAAGAGTAAAATTTTAACTTAATTCTTTTAAATTGCCAAAAAAATCGTTTTAATACATTATATATCCTTATTTTGAATCAATAGATGTAAAGTTAAATACATCTGTTTACAAAAAAATAGAGATCAATTAATTAAATTATAAAGACTTGAAATCTAGAATTTAAAGGAGTATAGATTTACATGAAGTAACTATAAAAAGTTTTTTAACCTATAATATAATGAATTGATTTTAGAGATGTAATGATTATACATCTTTTAATATCTTCTGTATTTATTATTCAAGACTTCTTTTCATTTCTGTATTCGCTTTGCTTTTAATGGCTTTTTCTAATATATCATAGAAGTTTATTCCATGATATTCAGATAAATGCAAAAGTCCACATCTCCTTTTGATATGAATTTTGCATTTGCTTAAATTCAATAGAAACAGATATTTAGATTATTTGGTAAATTCATAAATCTGTTTCTTTGTTTTTTTTTTTAATATCCATAATTTGTTCTTCCTCTCCGTGTCTGAATTAACACTTTATTGATGTTTCCCATTATTTTTCAATTGCCATGTCCAAACATGATCCTTAAATTAATTATAGAAACCTCTTCATACTTTACTTCCAAATAGTATTAATTTTATTTTATATTTCTTTTGTTTAAGTGAATAAAATCGGAAGTAGTTATTAGATTTGAGGTTTAATATATATATTCTAAAGTAATATTCTGGTTCCTAGACTAAAGTCTTTAGATAGTTTCTTTATTTACAATTCTAAATATTTTATTTTTGATTTGGTAGCATTGACATGATTATTAATATTCCCACTTCCATCAATATCTACTCCAAGGTACTTATTATTTCTTTGAAAAGGAATACCAAGCAAATTTTTTTATTCTTATAGTTCTAATTTCAATAATCTTCTAGTTATTCTTATTATGGCACCTTTTTTTGTATTTATTTGGAGATTTAGATTCTAAGAAGCTTAATTCAGACATTATAGTGTGGAATCAAGATATTTCTCCTTGCATATAAAGGCTAAATCATCTGCATATAAATAGTAGTGGTCAATTCTGCTGAAATTATATATTTGTTCCATTTTTTTTATTAAGATGTGTAAGTATATATCAAAAAGAAATGGAGATAAAATACTTCCTTATGTATTCCATTTAAAAAGCTATCTTTTTATTTTTATTTTTGATATACTGCCAACTCATAAGGCTTTGTAGGAAATTTAATTCATCTTCGTCTAGTACTCCCATTTCTTTGAGAAAATTAAATAACACATCTATTTTTGCACAGTTATAAGCTGAACGGAAGTCTATAAAAATAACGACTCTATTATCTTTTTCTTGAATTATTATATGTTTGTAATCAGTTTTAATATCTGTGGTTGTGTTCCAGTTCCTTGTACAAAACCGAATTATTCTTTTATAATCTTTTTTTAACAGTATTATTAGAGTTTCTTAAAGAACTTCGGTCCCAGCCTTTTCATTATAGGACTTTACACTATGATTGGTCTAAATTGATCTTTTTCAGGAATGTTTGGAAAGGCTTTGTTGAGTGGAATCAATCGGTTTTCCCCAAAATTTTCAATTAGATCTGCTGTTGATTGCTAACACAAATCAGACATCTAATTGTATGTACTATGTTATTTAATCCAAGTATCAGAAATTAGATCAAAGGTTAGTCCTTTGTTTTGTGACATTTTTTCTTTCGTAAATTTGAAATCTTCTAGGGTGATTTGTTGCAATTTTGGTAGTTATTTTGGTGAATATTTTTTAATTGTTTAGAAAATGCCAAGTTAATTTAGGCAATTTGAAAGAATTTATTCATTATCAGTGACCAGGTCATTTCCATCAAGAAAAAAATTCATTAAACCTCCATCTCTTTTTGCTGGTTTCATGATTACGAGCCTATCAATGATTCGAAAGGCTTCCTTGCTATAATTACTTCTAAGGTTTTTTTCTATTTCCTTCAGTGTGTTACCAATTGATGATCCTTCATAGTGATTTAATTGCATCAGTTTTTCTCTTATTCTATTAAAAAATTTGTTACGGTGTGAGTTCTATTTCAAATTATTATAGAAATCAGCAAAGGACTTAGATTTGCAGTATTGAATATTAAGAGAAAGAATATTGAGTTTTATAGGATAGAATTAGTATCGTCTAGGAGTGAGGTGTGACTATTGGATCTCTATTTTGGAAGTTATTAATATATTATCTGAGAGAGAATTTTATTAGAATGTGCATTTAGCTTCTAAATTCGCTTTAATTAGTAAGCAGTCTGTTTTGCTCTTTACCACTTTTGACTATATAATTCTGCTAAAAGTACGCTGAGTTTATGGCACTAGATCTTTTAATTGTAGCAGTTAGATTTTCGATTGGTTATTAAGAAATAACTGTGATATTTTCAATTTAGCCAAAAAAGGTTCTTATAAATATTAAGTGAACAATCTTTAAAATCTGATTTTTACCTAATAGTATGCAAATTCATACTTATTTTTAAAGAGCTATTTATGAATCATCTTCAACAAATTAATTCTGTAACCTTTGTTGTAATATCTGGTAAAATTATTAATGACCTGATTAATTTCAGGCAAATTACTATTATATACATCTTTATAAATTAATATATTTATAATCTATAAAATATATTGTTTTGATATAATCTTTAAGAATTAGTTAATATTTCTAATAATATAAATTTTAATAAAAGTAAATTTCCTAGTTGAAGATTAAGTTGATGTAAACACCTATTCCGTAGTTAATGATTACAGAGCAACCTTAGGATGAATAATAGGATTTTCTAAACTATTCATTATCTGAGGTTTATTTTTCAGTCAGCAAATTTAAAGACAATAGAAAAAATGTTAGTGAAAACTCAATGAATTTGAATTATAACGAATAGGAAAATTCAACCCCTATTTCTCCTAATAACATAAATTAAACTAAGCCAAGCAATCATTCATCTGCTTAAAAATCGCAGTCTTAAGAAAGAATAAATGTAAACACAACATAAGAGAAGGTTTATAGAGATTTTTTTCAATATTTTCTAATTTAAAAGTTTGTTCACAAAATATCATTTAAAAAGAAGATAAAATTCTTTATTTGACAGATATCACTTTGAGGTAATTAATGATCTGGGTGCTTCATTTGACATCAATTTATTTAGAGAAAACACAATAAAATTNTTTTCTATTTCCTTCAGTGTGTTACCAATTGATGATCCTTCATAGTGATTTAATTGCATCAGTTTTTCTCTTATTCTATTAAAAAATTTGTTACGGTGTGAGTTCTATTTCAAATTATTATAGAAATCAGCAAAGGACTTAGATTTGCAGTATTGAATATTAAGAGAAAGAATATTGAGTTTTATAGGATAGAATTAGTATCGTCTAGGAGTGAGGTGTGACTATTGGATCTCTATTTTGGAAGTTATTAATATATTATCTGAGAGAGAATTTTATTAGAATGTGCATTTAGCTTCTAAATTCGCTTTAATTAGTAAGCAGTCTGTTTTGCTCTTTACCACTTTTGACTATATAATTCTGCTAAAAGTACGCTGAGTTTATGGCACTAGATCTTTTAATTGTAGCAGTTAGATTTTCGATTGGTTATTAAGAAATAACTGTGATATTTTCAATTTAGCCAAAAAAGGTTCTTATAAATATTAAGTGAACAATCTTTAAAATCTGATTTTTACCTAATAGTATGCAAATTCATACTTATTTTTAAAGAGCTATTTATGAATCATCTTCAACAAATTAATTCTGTAACCTTTGTTGTAATATCTGGTAAAATTATTAATGACCTGATTAATTTCAGGCAAATTACTATTATATACATCTTTATAAATTAATATATTTATAATCTATAAAATATATTGTTTTGATATAATCTTTAAGAATTAGTTAATATTTCTAATAATATAAATTTTAATAAAAGTAAATTTCCTAGTTGAAGATTAAGTTGATGTAAACACCTATTCCGTAGTTAATGATTACAGAGCAACCTTAGGATGAATAATAGGATTTTCTAAACTATTCATTATCTGAGGTTTATTTTTCAGTCAGCAAATTTAAAGACAATAGAAAAAATGTTAGTGAAAACTCAATGAATTTGAATTATAACGAATAGGAAAATTCAACCCCTATTTCTCCTAATAACATAAATTAAACTAAGCCAAGCAATCATTCATCTGCTTAAAAATCGCAGTCTTAAGAAAGAATAAATGTAAACACAACATAAGAGAAGGTTTATAGAGATTTTTTTCAATATTTTCTAATTTAAAAGTTTGTTCACAAAATATCATTTAAAAAGAAGATAAAATTCTTTATTTGACAGATATCACTTTGAGGTAATTAATGATCTGGGTGCTTCATTTGACATCAATTTATTTAGAGAAAACACAATAAAATTAACACCTATAATTGTAAAACAAGTTAGAAAAATAGAAACCCAATTTTCTACAAGACTGAAATAAATGACATCTTAAATTCAATAAAGATGGGTAATATTCATAAATAAAATTCCATTAATATATCCAGAATCAAAATTGAAATTAATTTGGGATGGGATAGTGACTGCAGCAAGATTTTATTTTATCTTTATCATTCCTCTGGATTTGGCTTGGGAAATGGAGTAATTTATGTTTCAATTTCTAATTGTACCTACATCGCTTATGCTAGCTTTATTAATAATTGATTATATTATTAGTTTTAATCAAGCATTTTACGAATTTGGGTCTATAGTTACTGATAGAAGAAAGATTGTACAATATGTTTTAACAAAAAGTTATGGATTAGACATCGTATCAATTTTAATTTTAATAAATTTTTTAATAATATCACTATTTTAGAGTTAAGCAGTAAGCCTAACATAAAATTGGTATCAATTATCATTACTTTTATTTCTTATTTAATATAAGAACATATCAAAATTATCAGAATAAATTGAAGAAGCTTTAAATTTATCAAAATAAATGAGTTCATTATTAGAATTGGGTAAGTTATTTTTTTTGTTATTTTTTGTTTTACACATATTTTCTTGTTTGTGGTTTTGGGTTGGATACCACTAATTAAAAAATAATCACAAAACTTGGTTATATCTTAAAAACTTAGATTAAATGAATTGGAATGAATAGTATTTATATTCATTTTATTTTTCAACTGTTACTATGTTCACAGTAGGATATGGGGATATAACTCCATAAAGTAGTTTGGAAACAGTATTATGCATTATGTTTATGATGATTTGCAGTATTTAATTGTCCTATAGTGTAAGTACTGTAGGAGCTATCATAGACAAAATTTCATTTTATACAAAGGAGAAGAGAAAGAAGGTTTAAACAATAAATACCTATATGTAAAATAAAAAGATTAGTTATGAATTATAATTTAAGATAAGTGAATATTTGAACTATTATTGGTCTTGTAACTAACAAGAAGAAACTTAGGAAGAAAAATAAATAATTAATTAATTATCAGAAAATCTTCGAGAAAACTTATAATTTGAAGCAAATTCTATGATTTTAAATAATTGTCCTTTATTTAAAAATTATTTTAGTGAACAATTAAAAAAAAAATTAGTGAAAAAGATTAAATCAATTGTTGTATAACCTGAAAACATAATTGATTTTAATCATTTTTTTCCAGAATAGAAGCTGAACTAATTTATATGTTTTGTTGAGGAAGGAGAAATTTAAATTTTTATTGAGAATGAAATGTTGTAAAACCATGTTTCATACAATTCTATATCAATTGTAAATACAGTTTCAAAAGGTAGCAGTCTTGGATTAATGTCTTTCATAACAGGAGTGAAAGCAAGAGAAAGATTCAAGAGCTTAGGATTTTCAAAACTATTATTGTTATCAAGGGATGACTTTTTGAAAATCATTCCAGAATTTCCTGAAGATTATGAGATATTTAGAGAAATGCATGATGATTTAATTTTGAATGAAGACTCATAATTTCTTAAATTAACTTGTTTTTCCTGTAATAGCATCTCTCATAAAGTAATTGATTGTCCTTTAGTTCATTTTATTCCTGACAAAGAGTTCATAATAAAAAAACATTAATTTTCTAGATTTTAAAAAAGGAATGAATCAATGAAATTAAAATATAAAAGAAATCAAAAGAGATAGCATGGATATTTTTCGGTACATCATGATTTAGATTTGATTTAGGAAACAGCAAAATTGTTTTAAGCTGATAATTATAAATAATGTCTATTTTATGAAGAAATTGATGATGATTCTGATAAAGATAAACAAAAGTTGCATTCTCCTCAATTTATAAGATCTATTAATTATACATTGTCAGATTCAATAAAAGAAGAATTTCAATCTGAGTCTTCTCCTAAATAATAACCTTTATAATAAAGAAGAAGTGTTATGTCAAATATGATAACAAAAAAATCATTATCTCTACTGGTAGATGATTTCACTTTATAACCTTTTAAAGGGATTAAAAAATTCAAAAGAGTAGTTGAGGTTGTCAAAAGTCTAAACAAAATTGCAAATAAGAAGAGTTGCAAAGCTTAAACAAAAAATATTTTAGCCTCTTTAGGTAGTGAGAATTATAGAGATTTAGAATAAAGATCTTTATTGAATGGTATTATTAGAAGATTAAGGTATATTCAAAATCATAATATTGAATGTATAGACAAAGATTATTAAGAGATGGATTTTTAAAGAATGAAATTGTAAGTATTGTTATCACATCATTAAAGTATAGAAGAAACATATGAGAAATTTGAAACAGTAAGACAATTTAAATTTTATTGTGTTCATAATAATGTAGATTAAATTTTAACAATTTATAATGAATTTTATAAAGTGAAATTATAAGAATTATTAGATATACCAAAAATATTCAAGTCTTTCGTGAGATATTTGATGTATCCTTATTCCTTTATTCATAAATATAAATTGAAAGCTGATAGTTTTGATTTAAAGGAGATAAAAAAAGAAGTTATAACAAAAAAAGATTAAAATGCAAAATTTTCTAAACTTTTAACATTACATAAATAAAGTAAAAATTTGAGAAAAAAATTACATGTGAAAAAAGCATAAATAAAGCCACTTTGATAAAATATTATATAATTATTAAATTAAACCATAAATTAGTAGTAAAAGGAAATATAAATATAAGGATATCTTCATATTTGATTTAAATTAGCTATTTTATCCAAAATAATATGAGATTAATTGAGAGGATTTGATTTTTTCATTATTTTTAAATTACGATATAATCTCCTTTATTTTATATATTTAAAATTTTAATAATCAATTAGCTTTAACTTTTTTTAACTATTTATCTTAAAATCGATTTTACTATAATTGCCAATAATATAATTTGATTTGAGCAGTTTGTTTTATATCAAAAATATAAAGAGTCTATAATAGTTTTAAATGATCCTCATATGAATTAATATAATTCATTTATTCATCTTTACTAAATTTTTATGAAAAGATACATTAAATTGTACAAAACATAATCGACTTATTGGTAAAGTTATATATAGTAGTAGGAAGATAAATTTTAATTATAAATAGATAATTTTGAATATATTAATTGAAAGGAAAATTCCAAATGGTTATTACAAACAAGCCATCTACTTTTTGTGCTCGACTATTAATTAGGATAGATATAAATAAGGATTAATGATATTATAAAAATAGATCGCAGACTAAAATTTATTTCTTCTTTACACACAGTAAAGCTGATTATCAGTATAGCAAGTAACATTTTACTATTTAGATACACTTATTAACTTTTTCTCAAAAAAGGGATTAGAAAATTAAGTTCACCATATATAAATATAAAGCATAACTCTTGATCATATTTATTAGATTAAATTCTTTTGAATTAGATATGTTTATCTTTTGGATTTGTAATCCACATAATTAATACCTTATCAAATCCTTTTGAAGTTATAATGAATTGTAAATATTAAGAAATTATTATAATAATTACAAAAACAATTGAAGATTGATATTGTTAATCCATTACCATTCAAGAGGGATTAAATGAAAACTACAATCAAAGATACTCATCTATTGTTTCCTATTATTCTTTTAATTCTAATCGCATTATATTATCAAGCAACAAAATAGAACAATTAATAGTAAAAATCAACTGAATGAAATTTAAAATCTATGCAATAATACTTGCATTCTTTAACAATTTAAATATCAATATTATTTAGTATATTTAACAATTTAGAGATTTAAAATAATATAAAATTATTGATTTATTATTTTTATCTTGATTTCTTAATTCCACATTTTCAGTATTTCAATTTTAGATTAAGACAAAACATTTGTCTATAGTTTATCATTCAAACTATGATCAAAAGAAATGATTAGACTTATGAATAACAGACGTATTTATGAATATAAACAAATATAAGTTGATATAAAATTAAATTTGTTATTGAATTCAATTCACAATTTATTCTTGCCACTCTAATAAAATTGTAATGTTATTTAATAGGTAATTCAGCTTCATGAATAAGTTGATTAAAATATTCTTTATTAATAATGGCATTTTGAAATGAGTTAGTAGAATTGAATGTTTAATCATTATGATATTTAATTTAATTAACGATCATGCAGAGTCGAATTCAACAGCTATCTTAACTTCAACCAGATAAAAGGATCCTCAATTATGCTTTTAGTTAATAAGCTGTAATAGGACGAGGGTCTTATGGGATTGTATATGTTGGAGTGAATATCGATACAAAGTATGTTGAAATTTAAATTGAAGTTAAGTTGTTGCTATTAAAGTTGTACCTTTGTAATTTGATCAACAATCTCTAAGGAAAGAAATTGATATAATGAAAGATTTGGATTGTCCAAATATTGTTAAATTATTAGATGTTGTCCAAACCCCAAATAATTGTTATATAGTTAGTGAATTATGCACAGGTGGTGATTTGAGAGTTTATATGAAAAGATATGGATGTTTAACAGAATAATAAGCATTACCAATTTTGACTCAGATTTTAAAAGGGATTTTATAATCTTTCAAAAAAGGAATAATTCATCGTGATTTGAAACCTGCTAATATCTTAATTGCTTCTGACAATATATTTAAGATAGCTGATTTTGGATTTGCAAAAAGATTCTAACATTTAGAGGGAGATCTAATGAATTCAATGGCAGGAACTCCTTTATATATGTCCCCTTAAGTGTTATTAAGGAAATAATACACTTCCAAATGTGATGTATGGAGTGTAGGCCTTATATATTATGAATTAATAGAAGGGAGAACTCCATGGAATGTTATGGATATTCTTGATTTAATTAATAAGCAGAGAAATACCAATATCAAATTTAGTAATTTTAATTGTTTATTAATTTTAGGTAAAAAGATATCACTCATTTCATAATAATTCATTTTGGGATGTTTATAATATGAAGAATAAAAACGTTTAGGTTGGGAATAAGTATTTACACATCCTTTATTTGATAATAAATTCTTAATTAAAGAGCAAGATTAAAAATCTTAAAAATCTCAGCATTCTACCTCGTAAATTAAAAATGAATCTGATTCTTCAAATATGAACACAAAATTAGTTGCAGTAAATTCACCTCCATAAACTAAATCACCTCTTTAGATATATAATAAATAATAGAAAACCATCTAAAAAGAAATATTATCAAAAGTTGAATCACCTAAATAAGAAATTCGTTAATTATTTAATCATAGTAAAACTGTTATGCTTCCAGAAACATAAAAAAAAGATAGGACTATTAGTATTGGCAATTAACCATAAAGCACTAGAAATAGTGGGAATAAAATATTTAATGAAAATTAAAAAGTTTTAATTAGATAGAGAAGTGAGAATGATGAATTGTCAAATAATAAACAAATTATTCAAAATTAGATAGAATATTTATAATTACTTAAATAAATAAGAAGCTAATTGTTTGATTATTAGTAAGTCACCATTTAATAAACTACTGTATATAAATTACAATTTATCATTTTGAAGAATATAATGATGATAACAACTTAATTGAAAAGTTGTTTAATTGATGGAAATGTAAATACACTCGAATTGAAGGATTTCGAAATCTTTAAATAGAGAGATACATTTAAAAATATAGAAAAATAAATTCTAGAATTACATTTCGATAGTTTCAATAATTTTTAAGAATGCTAATTACTCTTAAATGAGAATTATACTTTAATTATGAATGATCTGGAATTCATGGATATTTTTAATAATAACTTTGAATATTCAGTATAATTTTGTAATTTGGCTAAGCATTTAAGTTTGTCATTTATTAAATGTAAAAGATATAACTAAATTTAGAATATTTATATTAAATTATATTGGGTTATGAAAATCCTAAAATTTAATCATTCACATTTATATTGTGTAATTATGCAAAATTCGTTGGGGAATACACTTAAAATGTAGAATAATTCTTACACTGTATTAAAATATAGTTAACAAGGAGCGAATGTATAAATTATATTGAAAAAATATTATTTAATTGATTACTTATTTAGAGATTATATCATTATTATTATTATTAATAATAAAAATAATGATAAATTTAGAATATTCTAATATTTGAATTTATATATATATATATATCTTATGTATATTGAACTGATCTAAAAATTTATTACTTTTCTATTCTAATTAATATGATATTAATTGAAAATACTGAATAACTTCTATTTAGCTTTCTTATAAAAGTGAAAATAAATATAGATTTTAATGAGAAATATGTTGATTCATCATAATTTTTATTGTTTAATAAAATTCTAAATTCTATTAACCAAATTAGAATTGATTATATGATCAGAAGATATTGTAGGAACATTAATCATACAAACAATATTGTGTTTTATTGAAGATAATATAAAATAGAACCAAAATATTGTATTAAAATATAAAATTTGAAAGGTGAACTTACAAGCAAGGATTAGATATCATTAATAATTGTATTATATTGTTACAATATATAAATGTAGATATCTTTGTCTTAATATTTAAGTATATAATATAATAAATATTAAATAATCAGATGACAGAAGAAGATGACAGTATGTACTTTCTTAATTAGATATTATTGCCTTTGAAGAAGATGATGACAATTCTCCACCAAAAGTTCAGCCAAAAATATCTACCAGATTTAAACATAAGCAAGTGAGATAACAAGAGATAAACAATGAACAAGCTTAAGAGGCGAGTGAAGATGGTCCTGTAATCAATTTTACCAAGCTGTTTAAAACTAGTAAAGAAGCAGGAACTTCGTAGGGCATAAAAGTTGATCCAATATATGTAGCTCCTATGGCTAAATCTCTCTTTCTTAATCCAGGTGATTAACAAGAGGAGGATGATGATCCTGGAGTTTTGAAATTAGAAGATCCTGAAGATTAGCCATAACCTCCAGAAGAAGGAGATGTTTTCATAAAGTCAAAATCTAATCGTTCTTAGAAGAGTACTCCTAAGAAAGATGAAAGTATTTTGGATGTCATTTAAAAATATGATGGAAAAAATATTGACAATAGTTTAGAATTTTCTGTACATCCAATAGGGAAAGGAACTACAGAATAATTCCCAGCTAGTTAAGAAAATAGAGATGAATTAGTTGATACTATCTTTAGTTAATAATTGAAGATAGGCATTCAATAAAATGATCCTAAAACAGACTATTATGGAATTTCTATGTTGACTTAAAAAGGCAGTTTGTTTTAGAATGCACTAAAAATGTCATTTAAACGTGCTTTCATGACTCCAATTCTACCATTTATCATAATCATTACTATTTTGGATTATACTATGACGTCAGTTAATGTAATTTTCTATAACTATTTATCAAGCAATTTTAATTCTTTATTATTTACATCTTATTACTTGCTACATTACCAACATTGTTATGGTATAGAGTCTATAAATAGGAATTAGAATTGGAATTCAAATTTGATAGATAATTAGTATCTGTATTCGATTTCGCATAAAAAAGATTTAGCAGTAGAACTATAATTAGATTATTTCCTGGATGCATAGTATAATTAAAAAAGGGTGATAGAGTGCCTGCACCTATGATTATTCTAAGTTCTGAGGGTTAAGAACATGCTTAAGTCAATTTCGGTGATGACGTAAAAACTTATAAAGTGGCTGCTCCAAAATTATAAGAACCTGATTTAACATATATTGATGGTTAATTGGAGTTCAATTAATTACCAATATTTTCAGAAAATACTAAAGCTAGATTAAGATTGGATCTAGTTGAGCCAATAGATATTTAATTGAATTAGGACCATTTAGTTGATGAAAATGGAATTGTGGAATCATCTTAATTGATAGGTGTTTTACTTCATTCATCTACTCGTTAGAAATATTTAAGAGAAGCTTTATCATTTAATTTACCATTATATTTAAATCCATTAAATTCTGAGTTTTTTAGTATTGGAATTGCTATAGTACTTTCAATTACATTTTCAATTGCAGGATCTATTTGGAGTAGTAATAATAAGGATAAGCATCTTTATATAAGAGAATAGAGCAATTATAATTTTATTTCTTTATTAATTGATAGATTGATTATTTTTAGCAATATAGTACCAATATTTGTAGAAGTATTTAGACCAATATTTTTATTGTTGGCAAGGAAAAAAGTAAATGGTGATATTGGAATGGATCCTTAGAGATCAGGATAATTAACTAAATTGAATAGTTATATAGCATTGGATAATTTAGCAAATACAAAGTTTGTTAATTATGGTTAAGTATTAAATGAACCAAAGTTAAGAGTAGGAAAAGCTACATTATTAGGAGGACCATAAGGAGAGAAAAAAGATAATGAAAAGAATAATGATGATGTTAAATTATAAGGATATGAACCAAAACCTAATAAAGAGATAATGGATGATTAAATTTAAGTAAATTAATCAACTGCTTTTGAATAAATAGATTTAGAATATGATGCATAATGTGATGATAAAGAACGTAGTACATTTGTATTTGAAAGAGCATTATTGACATTACCATATAAGACTTTAAATCCTACATAATTGGCTATATAGAAATATTGTTAATTGGGTGAGTGTGTACAATTTTCATATGATGATAATTAAAGAAGTGTATTATTACCAAAGGAAGTATTAAGAACATATACAGTTAAATTGATTGTTAATACTGAATAATGGGATGCATATTTATATGAGATGCCATTGTTAGAAGAGAAGGATTTAGAATCAGATGATGAAGAAGCATCAGATTTATAATAATTATAAGATAGAATAAAGAAAGATAGAGAATTATTTGAGAAAATGAATAGTAAAAGATATATTTGGGTGTTGTAGGCAGATATTGAAAGTACTTTATGTAAAGAACATCCACAATTATCATAATTTATGTCAGGTAAAGCTGTTTTTGAATATACATTCTAAGAATAAGAATATTAGAGATTGTACAAATAATTAGGATCATCTGCTTTTAAAAGAAAATATATATAATTACCACCTTTTGCAGAAGAATAATTGATGACTTAAATAAAACCTTGTGGAGTATTTTAATTTTAGACTGTTGCCCATCATAATTTTCATTTGTTATTAGATTTAAATTTAGCTATTATAAGATAATGGTTTTTTATTAGAGATGTAGAGAGAGATTAAACTTTATAATATTTGAAATAATATATGGAATGTATTGAATTCACAAAAGATGATTTACATAATGAAATGAATAGTGTTAAGAGTTAAGCTGTTCCATTATTTAAATAATCTACAAGAGAATTTAAAGTGTTTGATAATTTATATAAGATTGATGATAAATTCATTACTTTAATTATTAATTAAGAAGTATTAGATTAAGCATTATCAGATGGAGAAATAAGATCACAATTTTATGAAGTTATTATGATAGCATCTTTTGTTGTATTTCATGATCTTAGTAAAGTTTAGATAGAATAACTTATCACTTTTTAAAAAGATTAATCTAAAAATTAAGCAATTGTATCTGTTGGATTACATGATGAAGATTTATGTTTATGCAAAGTTAATACTATTAGAGCAAGTGTTCAATCTTAAAGTGCTAAAAATCCATCATTATTTTCTGCCATGAGTCATATAGAATTAGTTAATTTAGATGGATTATCCAAACTTATTTTAACTCATGCTAGATAAACACATGTCAGAACTGCTGGATTCTTGTTATTCATCCTTTATAAGGGTTTCCTCATTACTATGTGTGAATTCTTTTTTTCATTTTTTAATGGATATTCCAGCACATAATTATTCACTACTAGTTTCCATTTCATGTTTTAAACATATTTTACACCATTATATGGATTTTTAATATTTTCATTTTATTCTGATGTTAATCATCGAGTAATTAGAATGTTTGCTAGTGAATTTATCAAATGTCAAAGAGATTATTATTTCAATAAAAAGAAACTTTTCCTAATATTCTTTGATTCTGTTTATCAAGGATTCATTATATTTTATTTACCAGCTAATGTAATATTACTATAATATGTTATTAGATTCTATAATATGCTAATAATTCAGAAGGTATCATAGAAGGATTTTATTATATTTCCTTAGTCTCTTATTTGACTGTCCTTTTGACTACCCAAATGCAACCAATACTATATTTAAGCACACTTTCCAAAGAATAAATGTATATATATATATATATCTATTTTAGAGTTGTAATTATGTTTAACATTACAATTTGTATATTAATATTATTCACAACATGCTCATCTGAAACTTGGAGTACAAGCATTCCATAATATACTCATCATTTAGAATCTATTTTAGATAGTGTAAAGAGTGTCTTCATTGTCATATTCTTATCTTGTATTTCTTTAACTCCAACTATCATTCTATAATAATTTGAAACTGTTTCTGATTCATAATTGATCAGAATGATTCATTATTATGAAGAAAAGGAAGAAGTTGAAGAAGAACCAAAACAAAAACCTTAAGAACAAAAACAATCTTAACCAATTGATACCAAATAATTATAAACTAAAGGATTAGAATAATCAATAATGATAGAATAGACTAGTTAAGATTAAATAAATATGTCCTAGGACAATCTATTATAGAAATGATTTTGAAACATATTAATATTAAATATTTCATAAGACAATATCAAAAATATCAATAATAATTATAAAATGTTTTATTTTTAAATCATAATTTTTTTATTATATCAAATTATGGAATAAGCTATTTGTTGTTGTAATTTTTTAGATCCCAGTTTAAAATATATTCATGATACTACTATAGGTATTGAATTTGTATCTTAGGAAATTAAAGTTTCGGATTAAAATATAACTATATGTATTAGTGAAACTCCAGGAAAATTGTAATCTAGATTTTTGACTCACATTTTCTATAGAGTGTATGATGCATTTCTTGTATTTTTATGAAACTAGAAAATATTCATTTTAAGGATTGGTTTATTATTATAATAATATTATTAGAGAATTTAAAAGTAAGGATTTCTTGACTTTTTGAGTAAATATAAATTATGCTTGCTATGAGATTGAACTAATTATAATAAGAAATAAAAGATATCTTGTTGAATATTATATATTGATTAAGTGAGAAAATGAGGGAATGCCGTTTACTAAACAGTATATATTTTACTTTTATAAGATTTTTGATAAAACTGGACTGAATGTAAATAAAATATTCGAAAACTTAAGTAGTATTAAAATAAAAAAAATAGGGAATGATCCTTATAAAATAATATTGATATTTAGAATAATAGAATTGAAATAATTAAATATATAAAAGAATAGTATAGTAGTTATATGTGATGATTTCATAATGGATAATGAGATAATTGGAAATGTGAAGATCTTTATTTCTAAATATTTATTATAATAGTTATTTTATTAAATAATACATATTTGTTATTATTGAATAAAAAATAATATAATAATCATAAATTTACATCAACTTATTATTTATCTGTGCTATCTTCAGTTTATTTATCTACTTATTCAAATTTGATATCATCTATTTATTAGAGTTGTTTAACTTTATGTGATCTATTTAATACTATTCTTACTATTTAATTAAAAGAGCTAATCTAACAATTTATAGAATATATCTCAAAACCATAACAATTAATCCAATCACATCGTCAATTATTGCTACAAATTCACTTAAATATTATTGATTATAATATACTTATTGATTAAATAGAAGAAAAGTAATAAAATTAAAATAAGAATAAAGGAACCTAAATCTATTATATTCCATTTATCTTTAAAGAATTACTTAATAAAATAGAGATATAAAGAAATACTTTCTTTTCTGCTATTATTCTTAATGAAATATCAATTAGGATAGCTAATGTAAGTATCACTTCTGCTTGAACAACAATTGATTGATGTAAACTATTGTAATTAAAAATGATTTAGTACTTTCGGATCGGATCTGTCATAATCTAGTTGTATATATTTCATACATAGATCAAAAGTATTATTGATAACATAACTTAAAGTATTGAAAATAGGATATAGAATTTACTCATTCTAATAGTTGTGATAATATGTTTGCAATTTTACATCTAATAATTCGTTTATATTATTTTTAATATCATAAACTATGCAGTCAGATTATTTTTCAAATAAGTCTACACTAAACTATCATTCAACTCAATAACTAAGAGCTCAAAAGACAACATCTTCAACTATGTATGCAGTTCCCTGTATGAATTGTGAAAATCTAATTCCTATTAATGAAATTGATATTCACACTATGAAATGTCTAAGTGTTTCAAAAAGTGTCACTGCAGTACTTAAATCTAATAAATTATTGGATGAAATCAATTTTAAAATATCAAAATTGAGAGAATCTATTTTACAATTAAATCAAAAAGAATCTAAATAAGATAATATTAAATATCTTAATAGAGCAGATGAAATGTCAGAACAAATCCTTATTATTTAAAATACAAATTAAATTGAACTTCGTAAATTACAAGATCTTAATTAAGAATTGAAAACTATTACTGAATCTTATAGAGGTTCTCTTGCTATTGCTCTCTATCTTGAAAGACTCCATTCTCTTTCCTTATAGAAATAAACATCATTAGAAAAAGAAGTACGTACATAAAGAATTGAAACTCAAACTCAAAAAATTAATCTTATCAATTCCAATAGCAGTAATTACAATACTTAAAATAATTACAATAGTATTTCATCATTTCGATACCAATAATAATCTGAATAGAGTAGAACTTCTTAGTTACCTCTTCCTTCTTAATTTCAAAGTCCTCCTTATGGCAGACCTACTATAATTACTAAATTTTCAGGTAGTCAAGATAGAAATCAAATCAATGATATCAAAAGTGAAATTCTTACAAAGATATCTACATCATAATTTGATGAAAGTGAAATTAATCAAAATGAACTTGATCTTAATAATTCGAACTAATATAATTAATAATAGAGAATCTTTTATTCAAAATGTTTAGCTTAAAAAACTAAATTACCTAATATTCATCCATCTCAAAAAATACCTTTATGTATCTTACATAAGGAAATGTTATAGAGAAAAATTCCTACTGTTATGTGGGATAAATTTATCTTAGATGCTCTAAATAATCCACATTAATATCTTGATATGAATAAAGTATCAAATCCTTAAGGACTTAAAAATTAACTAAGATCCATGACTTAAGAACACTAATTCAAACAAAGAATTCAAAATATCTGATGATTTCCATCTTATATATCGATTTTAATATATAATTAATATCATATAATAATTTTTTTAAATAAAATCCAAATGTAAGGAGCACCAGGTAACTTAATATCAATTTTATATACTTTCTAGAAGTCCCAAGAAGATTTAGATTACTTGAAGAACTCTAGAATGGAGAAAAAGGTATTGGAGATGGAACTGTAAGCTATGGATTAGAAGATGGTAAAATATATATCTGAAACTTGTAGCTGAGGATATGTAGATGACAAATTGGAATGGAACAATCCTTGGACCATATAATGTAATATTATTATTCTATATCATAGACTGCATTTGAGAATAGAATCTATTCACTTAAAATCACATGTGGTCCATAATATCCTAAAGTTGCTCCCCAAGTCAGATTTGTTACTAAAATTAATCTTCCTTGTGTTTAACCAAATGGATAGGTATTTATAATTCAATTATACTCAGATTGATATTAATAAATTTAGCATTTTAAAAAATTGGGTATCCAAAAGTACTCTAGAAAGTATATTAACAGGATTAAAGAATGAAATGAGTTCCGCTGCTAATAAAAAATTATAATAACCACCTGATGGCCAAACCTATTGAGTTATTAAAATAAATATATATATAAGTAAGGAAAGTTTATCATTTTTATTATTCTTAAACTTTTCTTTATCTTTTATGTTTTATTCTCATATGTAAATTCAATGAAACCATAGATCCATAACTCTTATCACAATTCTTACCATAACACTTTAAATTATAATTATTAATTTAAACTTTATATTTCTTTTCTATTTAAATTGATGTTCTTCTAATTCTCTTTAATTTACATTTCATTTCTTATTATCTCAATTTCTATTCTAATTTATTGGTTCTATTTTTTAATAAATCTACTATTAATTTGATCTCTTTCATTTTCTCTTGGTTTTTTAAATATATATTTAACATCTCTTGTAATTGTCTTAAATCATATTTCTCTTATCATATAACATATACTTTACATTCACTTAAATCATTATTCATTAATGTTTAATTTGAATTCTTTTGATCAATCCTTTGTTCTTCTACACTATTTCTTAATGGTTCTCTATTTATTATACTTGTATTCTCATTTATAATGTCAGTTCTGATTATTAACATAATATATTACTTTTGATTTATGATGATAACTTTTTTTGTTACTTTTATTGATTTATTTAGCATAATATAATTATTTAAATGTTAAACTGAATTAATCTTTATAATCTTGAATTCTAACATACTTATGATATATATATATTCAATTTTTATGGAATTCCATAACCAAATTTAAATAATCTAAATAAATATTTATTCTTATCTCTATTTCCATAAGATTATTTTTTATTTTTATAGTGAATAAATGATAGTATTATTAATGTTGAAATAATTTAAAATTTTAATCTAAAAATTTATCAATTAACTAATTAATTTATATTCATATGAAAATTAGAATCAATATAAACAATCAATATATTTAATATATGATTACATTTAATGACTTAACAATCTTAGAAAATCTGATATATTCTAGAAAATAAATATATTAATAAATTACTATTAATAATAAATTAAATGCTTATCTAAAAACAAAGAAGTAATTTTATTAAATATTAATAATAAGTGAAAAGCAATTTAATGATTTATAATAATATATTAATATAAACATTCTTATCTTAAATAAATAATTATAAATAATAATAATTGATATCGATATATATAATGAATATTTATACATATTTTATTTAGTTTAACATATAAATTATAAATTATTTATTAATTTTATATTCATTTATCATACCTATATTATTTTTAATACTATTATTATATAATTTATTTTTATATAGAGGAAATAAAATAAAATGTAAGTTAATAAGTGCATGTTCTGTGATAAATTGAACAATGATGGATCTTTTCATTTAATTCTCACAAGAGCACTTTATTGCAAATACTCTCAGTCATAAAATTTTTATTATGAAAAAGACATTAATGATATATTGGATGATAAATAAGTTAAATCTACTATTCGATTTAAAGATTATGTATAATTAGATGAGCCTACAGAATTCATGAGAAGGTATATATAAAATAATATTATGAAAAAGATTTTATAGATATTTTGAAAGTGATGATAGAATACCAGCTCTTTTAGAATATTATAAGTATCACATAAATATTCCAAGAAACTTTCATTGTAAAGTCATTAATAAAAGAATGGAAAAAAATAGGGAAATACAGTATTGTAAAATTAAAATGGAGTTGGGTTTATTTGAGGAAGTTAAATAATAAACATAATCAAAAATAAAGGACACTTCTGAAGATTGTTCAGTTAGTTAACTTAAATATTTATTAAGAGATCTTAAAATTGAATCTACATAAACTGACATATCTAAAATAAGTAATACAACTGTATTAAGAGATTTGGTTCATTTAATTGGAGATACAAAAATTTAACCTAAGCCTTTTTAAATATTCAATTAAAATAAACTTATATAAAAATCTTTAAAACCTACTATTGATGCTCAAAGATAGATGTATTAAAATTATTAAGGAACTCTCAAAAAAACTATAGAAATGTAATTAAAATAAGCATAATAATTAAAATCTCCACCTTTAACTTAAAGAATTCCTAAGCCTATCTAAACATCAAGATAGACATCAGCTTAGAAATAAAGATCTAAAATAGAAATTCCAATTAAAACAATAAAGAAACCACCTTAATTAAAATCAAGACAAGCTTCATTAGGAAATATAGAAATGACTAAATCTTGTTTAACAACTGCAAGAAATACTCCATAACAAAATGAATTGTTATTGGAATTGGCCAAAAAAATGTTTTCTACAAAAATGACTTTTAATAATAGTAATTAAAAAAAGAAACTTGAAAAACAATAATAAAATAATTTTTTTGTTAAAGGAAGAACAAGTTTAGCTGGTAGTTAGAAAAATTTTGAAGATCTGAAAAATTCAATGAGAAGTTTAAGATCAAGACATTTAACTCCTAGTTAAATATGTTCTTCAAATCATGGAACACCAAAAACTAAAAAAAAAATGATTTTAAAGTGAATATAATAAGAATCTATTCATTCTTTTCAAATTTATATAAATATATATTTGGATTACTAGAATATATTAATCTTAAAATCAGTTTCTTTGGGATGATTTTGGATCTTCTTGTTTTTATACTTAAATTTAACTAAAGAATATTATATAATAATTACTTTTTTGATGATATTTACATTAACATAGCTGTTCTATGTGGTAATTTTAATTATAAATTAGTTTGAACAGGCTATAAAAATAAAAATAATAATTACTTTTTTTAATTTTTATTATAATCCTTTAATTTCATCTTTAAGTTCATCAACTTTAGCTAATAATTCTTCACTCTATTTTTCATTAGATATAGATCTATCTCTTTATGTTAATTAACTTATTGTTAATCTTGAATGATTTATTATAGAATTGATATTCTAATTTTAAGATGAATAATGTTATGAATTATTAATAGGATTACTAATTGTAGACATATTATTTAATTATGGTTATTAAAAGCTATTATTTTAAATGAAATTATGTGTAGATTTGCTTATTTCTTATGAGGATGGCTGATATTATGATGTATCTATATCAGTATTAAGCTTTTAATTAGCTGGTATGAATATAGTTTCACATTCTAATTATTTATCATTTGATTAATATTGTTGTTATTCTTAAATTAGATCATTATTTTAAGGAAGTAATTAACTTGATTTTCTTATCATTTATTTTATATTATTTCTAACAGATGAAACATCATTTTATTTCAATTATGATTATTAAAGATTATTAATATTATTCTATAAATTAATATTAAAATTACTTAGATATTACTTAATTTTTAAAGTATATCATTTTATTATGTATTATTTGTAAATTTAGATTTATAGATTTACATGAATAATCCATCTTTTTAAGGAGAAATGGATAATTTAGGAGGGTTTTGAGATTTTCTTGGCAATTCCAGATTTTTCTTATATAATAATATATCAATCAAAAACTACCTTAGATTTATGATTATGGAGGGATTTCAAATTTAGATCTTTATCTAATTCTAATATCTTCTAATTATCTTTTAACTAATTCTTCAGCTTTAATATCTTCAATTTTGATTCGTTCTTACTCTTATTTTTATTATATTTATTTTTCTTGAATTTATTTTAATAAATATTCTTTCAATCTATATAATGATTTAACAATACTCTTATTTTTTAATTTCTTTTTCAACAAGTAAACTTGGATTTTCATTTGCATTTTAAAAATTACCTTTAATATTGTAAGCATTCTGTAAACGTTCTTAAGATGTATTATTTTCAATGGAGTTATTTAATTTATATGAGAGTGATCTATCTCTATCCTATTAAAAAATGTTGCTTTTTCTTGGTAAAGAGATATTTTGCTTAGCTCTATCAGAATTATTGTTTAATGATTGATTCAGTTATTCTCTTTGATTATTGGGTGGAACTAAGGCCAATTGAAATAAACTTCGTTTTAAATTTGACATGGATGATTAATTTGAATGTTAATTTAACATGTCTAAAAGATTTAGACATTTAATACTTTAGGCAGCAGCATAAAACATAGTTTTTTTAGGATTTGAACTTAAAGTATTCATTATAATATAATATTAATATGTTATTAATTGGAAATATTCCATCATAGTAATTGACATATAGATTTTTAATGTTTTATAGTTTCTTATCTCCTTTTTGATCTCATCATAGTTTATAGTAATTATTCCCTTATAGTCATCCTAACTACTTCTTCAAATATATCTTTAATTTTGTTATTCAAGAAGGCACTACACTCTATATATCTTAAGTTTTCTTGTTCACACTTCTCCCAAAATATTTAGAATTTCTAAGGATCATTTTGTTTATCTGATTTATTTCCCACTATTATTTTTGGTAAATTTTGTTTGTCTGCCTTTTCTAATTCTGGTTTCCATTTTGTCCAAATATTATTGAAACTATCCATATCAATAACAGAAAACACAATCACAAATGCACTAGCTGATTGATAGCTCAATAAACGTAATCTTTCATAAGACTCTTGACCTGCTGTATCCCTTGATATTCAATTCATTATTATACCATAAAGACAATTATACTTAAGTATTATCTACACAAATTACATTAGAATAATTTTCAAAGACAGTAGGTATATAATCAATAGGAAATCTATCCTATGTATATCTATTTATTTCATAATTTAATTACGTCAATAGAATGGAAGTCTTGCCAACACTACTATCTCCAATTACAACAACCTTTATTGGTTAAGGTTCTTAATTAGAAATCATTATAAAAAAATATAATGTTACTTTAGAATAGAATCATAAACAATAAATTCATTATTCAAAGAAAACTATCTGCTGGTTCCTTTGGAATTGTATTTCTAGGGTTAGATTAAAATACTAAATAAGAAGTAGCAATAAAAGTAGAAAAAGAAGAAAATGAAGATATTCGATCATTGGAAAGAGAAGTATCAATTTTTAAACAACTTGGTTTTATTGATGGAATACCTAAATTTATTTGGTCAGGAGAAGAATATGGTTATAATATTATAGTAATGTAACTATTGGGGAACGACTTATCTTATCATTTTAAATAATTGAAGCGCTTTACACTAAAAACAGCATTACTGATTGCCATATAATTAGTTGATGTTTTAGAAAAACTCCATTTTTAAGGTGTAATTCATAGAGATCTCAAACCAGAAAATATACTTTTAGGTTCAGGTAAAGATAATAGTAAAATATATCTGCTTGATTTTGGAATAAGTAAAATATATAGGAATTATAATAACAAACATATGTAATGAATAGTAATAATTATTAGTCCTTTTAGAGAACATAGATCATTTTTGGGAACTACAAGGTATGCATCTATTGCTGCTCATCTTGGTCATGAATTGAGTAGAAAAGATGATTTAGAATCTATGATGTATATTATCTTATACTTCATTAGAGGGTAAATCTTATTTAATTTAAAGATAGCTACCATGGCAAAGTATGTAAAGTGTTACTGATGATGATAGAACTAAAAAAGTAGGTGAAATGAAATTACGATTATAATAAGAAATATTTAGAGATTAACCTAAAGAATTTTAAAAAATATTTGAGTATTAAATATACAATTATATTATAGTTACATACGTAAATTGTAATTTTAGAGTGAACCAAATTATAAGATGATTACATTTGAATTAAAAAAGGCTGCTGAATCTTTGAAATTAAATCTTGATGGATATTATGATTGGAGTGAGATTAGATGTTCAACACATTATGATTCTTTAATTCCTAATAATAGTATAGAAATGAAGAAATCTATTGAAAAATAATTATCAGGTATTATAAATCAATAAAAGTAAAATTAATAATTCTTTATATTTAGTTCCAATTTATTATTAGCTCCACCTCCATAATTTTCAAGCAGAAATAATCTTAATGGTAGAGAGGATAATAAAAAAACTTCATTAGCTTCCATAAATGGTAGTCCAATATGTCTACACTATTATTAGGTAGTTAATAATGTCTTTCTGTAAATCCATTCTATTCAACTTCTTTGAAACATCATATAGATTTTGAAACAGATTTAATTAGTTAATAACTTAATGAATATCTTGGAAATAGTAGTTTATGTCAAAATTATAATCAACTTAAAAAATTTAATAAAGAGTAATTCTATATTGTATTTAGATTTCACTTATTGAATAAATATACTTTGTGATTTGATTGAATTATTTGTAATATTTATCTCATTTTCTTTTTTATCATTATTTAATTCATGTAATTATAAACTCTAAACTCAAATAGTTTAATTGAAGAGCTACAAACTGAAAAGAAATAATCAGAAGAGACTAAAAAATTACTTTAAATGGTATTATATTTTCATATAGGTTTTAGAAGGTACAAGACTTTCATATGAAAATGTAAAAAGAGAGAAATGAAAAATTATTTTAAAAAAATAGATAAATAGTTATGCTACCTCCAATTTTATAAGATGATCAAACATATCCTTATTAATTTAATGAAGATGATTTTGAAGATGATGAAAGCTATCATGTCAATAATTTCGATGAAATTCAAAAAGAACTTGAAACATTTTACTTACACAAAATTTGAATATTCTAGTTCAAAATATTTGTTTTTATAATTTAATATGATTTATCACATCTTTTACTCAAATCTCTTTATTGCATTATAAACTTATACATCCAATAAACTTTCATGTGGTAATAATATCAATGCTTATCTAATTGCTCTTATTTATCTTTATAATTTTCTAGTTGCATATATTACCACAGAAAATAATATAGTTGAAGCTACTATTCCAAATATAATATAATAGATTAAATATTTCTAATAATCTGTTTCTAAAATATCAACAGATGTCGAAATTATTGTTGCATAAAATTCTACTATTGCTTTGTTAAGATCAAAAAAATATGGCATCAATAATTAAATGTTTTCAGCAGTCTCCAAAAAAAGAATAACTTCATCTGCATTAGTATCTAATTCTCCATTTAATTCTCTTACAAATTTACTCGAAAATAAAGCTTAAATTCTAAAATATTTAAATTTATATTTACTCTTAATACAATCCATTAAAACCTTATTTAAGATGTTCCCTATTATTATTTATTTCTAATGGTTTTGGAAAATCTGGAAAATATTAAAATTTCCCATTCATATAATTACAAAATGGCAATTATTCACCAATATAATCACAAAGATCATCTTAATATAAACCTAATAATAAGTTTTTATTTTAATCACTTATTTTCTTGGATGCTACTATATTATCATAAATTGAATTATATTATTCTTTTTATAAATCTAAACTAGTTTTAAATTAAGCTAATAAAATTTTATTGTTCTCTTAAAAAAATCCATTTGTTTTATTATATTCTGGATTTTATAAATAGATACCACTCTTTTTCTAATATTCACTTAATAATAATTAATTTTTTATTAATTAACTAATTATCATGCAACTATCAAATCTTTATTTAAATCTAACAAATTTCATACATAAATTTAATTCTGGAAATGAATCTTTCATATTTATATCTTAGAATAAATATGATGATAATACATATGATGTTAATATAAACCATAAAAAGAATAACATTAAATAAATATGAATTATGGAATATTGAGTCTCTTAAATTCTTTAATTTAATTTAGCTCTTTATTATAATTTTTATTATTTTTTTTCAATTTAATGTGAATGTGTTAATTTTTAAATTTTTCTTAATTGAGATATTCTACAAGTGAAGAACTCTTTAAAATAATTTATTTATTTCCATTTACTAATATCATTTATTAATACATCTTTAAATGACTTATACTTTAATATTAATAATTCAACATCTTTTTCTTATACTCTACAAATCATTAGAAGTATATTCTATTTATAAACATATGGTTCTACCCATAATTTAAATTAAAGTAATATAGCTATTATGATTATCAAAAGTTAAACAAATAGAAAAACAAGATATAAAAATTCATAATTATCAATATTTGCAAAGAATTCACTAACAATATTTTCAACTACATTACTTACAAAATCAATTAAATTATTTAGATTTGCTTTCAAAAATAATAATCGTATTTATTCATTAATTACAGAAAGTTCATCATTTTCATCTAATAAAGTAACTAATGCTTAAGTATATTCATTAACCATTTAATTGAATTACAAAAAAGAAATATTTTAAACTTAATAAATGTATTAATTAACTATTTTTATTTCAGCTTTATTAAGCTTTCCTTATTGATCAAGAATAGAGAATTCTTATTCTATATTTACAATTAATTCTAAGAGTTCTACTCTTAATTATTAACTTTCTTATATAATTCTATAAACATAATAATCTCCATAATTAAATTCAAGTAATCTAATTTCTAAATCTATTTATCCTAATACAGTAAATGTACAATATAATCTATTAAATTTATCTGGTAATCTAACAAGAGGAATTTAATATTATAGATTGTTTGTGTTGCCTCTTGCAATAATCAATTCGAGAACTACTAAGAATAACAATACAAGAAAGAGAAATACTGTATTAATAAATACTTTAATAAGAGTTGTTTAATAGCGTTATGTATATTACAAATTTCTAAGTATATTGAATACTGACATTTAAGTTCTATCAGATGTGGCACTAGATTAAGATTACTTAGCATTATCTTTAAATTCTAATTCCATTTCTTTATATTATTATATGACTTCTTCGACATTCTATTTATTTTAATTTTATTAAGAGCTACTTTTAGCAATTTCATAAGCTTATTTTTGATCTTCCTCATCTTCTTCATCGTATTCTACATTAATTAATATATCTTTATTTCCTCTTGGAGAAACTAATTATTATTATTATTAACTTTCATTCAAATATGATTATTTCTTTTAACTTTCATCAATATCTGGATTTTATAATTAATTTATTTTATTTATAATTGGAGGATTGAAACTTATAGCATTTTCTATTGCATCTTGATCTAATTTGAAATCAGATTCATTAAATGGATCACTAGTAAGAGTCTTTTTTATTGTACTATAATAACTAATAGAAGGATGATTTAAAGATTTTTTTTTATTAATTTTTTCAATATCATTAATTTACAATACAAATTAAGGAAGAATATCACCACCTAAAACATTAAATGATAACTAAAATTTAATTGAATATTATGTGTTTTAATCTATGTATTTACTTTAATTAAATTTTTATAAAAATTCATTGATAAATGATAGATTTTATTCTCTTAAAAAATGAATTGAATTTATGTGATTACCATATGTTAAATAATTTTATTATTCAGTTTCATTTACTTCAGTAAAATAATTTTATGATTCATGTATTTTAAGAGTACTATTGGCTCTAGTAAAATCATGATCTTAACATAATTGATTAAAATTATTGATAGGAGATAATATCATAGATTTAGGTGCTCCCCTTCCTTATAATTCTGATTATTATAATAATATTTCCTTTTCCATATTAATTTATTCAAAAATAGTTTAAAACCAAAAATATACAAATCCTTTATTTAATAATTATTCCAAAGTAAATCCTTAACCTAAAATACTGAAAAGCTATTCACTTATACCTAATATTTTACCACGACGATCAAATATAAGGAAATCATAACTTTATTTGACTTTTTATAATGCACCTGTTATTATATAATCGGAATCATTTTCAAACATATGCAATAAACTAATATTTGCAGCTTTTATGAAATTATTTTTCATTTTAACATAAACTTCTTTAGAATGTTCAATCAATAATGAATATCCTTTTTTCATATATCTAAATATAATTTTATCATGAATCTATTGTATATAAGGTGGCATTAATTATTCTATATATTATATATTTTAGAAATCTTTTTCATCTTTAAATCCAAAGAATTAAGCTAATTATCCTCTATTTTTATTTAAGATTAAACTCTTTTATCTTGCAAAGCTAGTAGCAATCATAACTAATTCATCATTAAAGAGTGTTAAATTATTAACATTTTCTGTTTATATATTTCTTTCTAATTACATAATTTCATCTATTCGTTATTCGATATCTAAAGTAGCATGATAATCATTTAAGATTGCTGAATATAGAATTGCTAATAATTTTAATTCTAATATATTAAAATGTATTAATCTTGCTTATAATTTCATTGGTTAAATTGCAAACCAATTAAAGAATATATCTCTTAATTTCCAAATCTTTTCACTTAAATTATAAGTACATAAAGCAAAATTTTCAATTCTTTAATATCCTTTATCTAAATCAATCCAAAATTTAATTTTTGTATCTAATATTGAAATCAATAAACTCAAACTATCTTCATATAATAATTCAGCTTTACGTATATCACATAATTATAATTTCTTCTCTTAATCTCCACCATTCTAAAATTATTTCTTTTTTTCTGCCATTTTCTCTTGTAATATATTAGCTATAACTAAAAAATAAAAAGATTATTTCTATGAATTTGTCATATATTGTTTTAATTCAATATATCCTAATTATGTTTTCTTACAAGTATTTATAACATACATAATTTTGTATAATTATAGATTCTCCATAATAATCCAATCTTTTGTTTTAATTTAATCAATCACTAAATTCATTAGATTCAATACTGTTTATTAGATCTTTTAAAATAGATTGTCACTTTCAATCCAAATATTATATTTAAATTTAATATAACATAATATGGAATATAATTAGATTGGATTTATTTTATTCTAACTTAAAATATCAACAATAGCAAGCATCTTTTCTTAAGTCATTGGTGAATTATATAATTAATTATTCATCTATCTTATATACAATTATGTAATTATCACAACTGATAATGATGATAATAAAAGTATATAATAAAATATATCTGTTTATGAAATTTAAAAAGATGTTAATTTTATAAGAGAGATAAAAAACATTAATGCAGTTGCAGTTACATATTTACAATTGATTTAATTACTGTAAGGTTGAATAATAATTGAGTCTATTAGAAATAGCAAATTCATCATCACTAATAAGATGGATGAGATAAGTTCGCTTACCATTGACTTCATAATTATTAATCCAACATCAATAATTATTAACGCAAAATTAAAATAGGAATATCTTCTTAAGTACTTATTTCTCTAAGGTAAAAAGTAATTCCTATTGACCATAAAATAAAGTATATAGCATATGAATATACCAATAAAAATAATTAAACTTATTATGAAATCTTCATCTTTTTATATTTGATTATTTAAGTGTTTAAATATTGGCATAAGCATCAATAATTGGTAATATGTAAAGAAGCTTTTTAATGTAAATTTAAATTTTAATTTTGTAAAGATGTTTATGATGATCATCCATATATATATACAAATTATGTAGGATATAACTTTGTTTAAGTTTAAACTATCAATTAATTAGATTGGAGTTTGTAATGTAAACCAATTAAATAATTGTTCCAAAATTTGCAATTTAAAATCGATATATGGTTTTTCAGCAAACTTATCATAATCGAATAATAAACTAATCCTCTGAAATGAAAAGATGATCATTATTAATGTGCTATTAATGTCTGTCTAACTCTCATTCATAAATTCAATAAAGTCTCTTGATCTCTATTTGAAATATTCATTTAGATATAAGCAGTACATATATTATTAATTATTTTATCATAATCATAAATTTTATATTGGTCCTCTTATTAAGTCAGCAAAATTAGCAAGAATATTGATCTTACTATCACTTAGTACTCTTACAAATGTGTTTAATCTGATTCGAAATGACATATCTCGCTCAGCCAATTATTAAAATTCTATTTTTCTTGTTCTATTTCCTAAAGAACTATAACTAATAGAAGCAGCATAGTATACTAATAAAAAGTTTAATTGATTTTAAAGGTTATAGTTTTCTAAAAAAGTATCTAAATTTGGATCAATTAATAGGAATATATCATTTACCATTATTGCAGAATTAGGTAATGCTATTTTATTATTGTTCTATTCACCTCTAAATCTACAAGTAATATTTTCAAAACAAATTATTAAAAATATTAATTTAAATTAGTAATCACTTAATTCCAATTATTCCCAAAAAAACATATCTTCTAAATGTTAATAAGTTTAATTTTTTCTCACTTGATCCCAAGTATATTTAATATTTATGA